GTGGTGTTTGCTTACACTCATCGAGAGATAGTCCTCCTGGATAGTCGCTGAGATGGTGTCTGGGACGTATTGTAAGGAAATTTAGAACTGAACATCATTTTTTTATATTCAAAACCAGTTGACGATTTTCGTGGAGACGTCACATGTTGCAAGTACGAGAAGAGGTTTGGGCAATTTGGGACTCGTCTTGAGCTATAAATGATTTTACATAAGAGTCGCAGAGATTCCGCATGTAACAATTGTGAGAAGCCGTTTGGATCACGAAAGTCGTTCCAAATGTCTTCTTTCACTTGTCACATGCGTAATCTTTGGGACTTTTCTGTACTGTCATTTGTAGTTCAGGTCGTGTCCCATTTTGTCCAAATTTCTTCTCGAACTTGTAGCAGGTGACATCTTTGCGAGAATCGTTTAATGGTTTTTGATAAAAAAGAAACGATGTTTAAGTCTGCCTTGACTTTCCAATCCGTCGCAAGCGGAATCTCAGCGACTATTCTGAAGGGCTGTTTCATGATGATTACGAGCAAACGCCACTTGTGCCCAATTTCCTTTAAGGGGTTTTTCACTATCTATTTCTATTTGTCAACAAACGGCACAATTATGACGATTACGAGCCTAGAAAATTATAACTTTTTAATACTTTTTTATTTTTTGCATTGCATAATTTTTTTATCTATGGTTGTTTTCCGGTTCGAGTGCCTCTATTCATGGTTCATTTCATTCAAAATTTTATTAATTCAATTTTTTTACTCGAAAATGAAGAATTTGACCAAAAAGTGTTACACGTTATACGACCTGGCAGACCCGAAGATCTCCATCGCAGCAGCATAAAACCTTGGCGACTTGCGTCATATCTGCGTGGTACTTGGCCTCGTCTGCGAGGCAACAACGTGAGTAATTTCGATTATTTTGTGCTTTTTAAAACATTTTTAAAGTATGATAATCAATAATTTAATTAATAAAATTAATACAATAAATGTATAAAAGATTATTGTTGATTGTGTAAAAATAAAAAGGTAGGCAAACCACGTGCAGAGTCGACAAGGTAGATATCTTCTATTCTTGATCAAAAGCATGCGGAATATGTTCAGATCAGTACTCTTTACAACATCTGACGAAAAAGCCTTCTGCTTCGCGAGTCTGCGATCTTTGTCGCTATCCGATTCTTGTTTACATTCGAATAACCTAATTGTGATGTTTATTACGAAATAATTGTTAATCGAGAATAAAAAAAAATGAATACCTCTCGTTACCTGTGCTCGCGATTGATTCGATTGACCGGTGACAAAAAGCCGTTGTTGTCGAGTGCCTCCTCGCACGCTCTGCCGCGATTATCGGCCGCCCAGACGCAAAACATCGTACGAACTGTCATCGCGAGGCCCAAAGAGCTCGACCAGTTGAGAAAAATCAACAAAAATCGTCAGCAGGATGGCAAAGACAAATACAGCGACAAGTCCACAGACGACGAAGCTATCACTCCACTGGGATACTTTCTTCTTGTAATGATTATATTTTTGTATCTTGACGCATCAGGCTTTGCACAAAATATTGCAATTTTCAATTTTATCAATCTTTTAGTCGATACCAGTTATAACTTTTGGACTAGGAACATGGCAAGTGCGAAGAAGAGAGTGGAAGATCAAATTGATAAAAGATCTGGAAGAACGATTAGCAAGAGAACCTGTCCCTTTGCCAGAAAAGTAAATTAAAATGAATATTTCTTAGAGCAAAAATCAATAAGAATCAATAAAATTACCAGAATCAATTTTATCTTTCAGTTTGGATGACTTGGAAAAACTTGAATACTGTCCGATCAAAGTAAGAGGACAATTTTTGTATGATAATGAATTTGTTGTTGGACCCAGAAGTTTATTAGTTAACGGAAAAGCTACTTCAGAAGGAAAAGGACAATTGATATCAAGCTCTGGTGCAAACAGAGGGTACAATGTGATCACTCCATTCAAATTGGAAGATAGAGAGTATGTATTTTAGAGATTATAATATTTAAATACTTTATACTCAGTTACTCAGCATAAAAACTGTTGAAAATTTCAGCCTAGTAATATTGGTAAATAGAGGATGGTTACCAAATAAATATAAACATGCAGAAGAAAGAACAAAATGTAGGATGGAAGGAACGGTAGAATTTACTGGTATAAATAGACTGAATGAAGTACGACCACAATTTGTTCCTAAAAATGAACCTGATAAAGGAATGTGGCATTATAGGTAAATATTATTTTTACTGTTACAATTTTAATTAAAAACTAAATATAATCTTAAATAACTTTGTTCAGGGATGTTTATCAAATGGCTGAATTTGCAAAGACAGAACCAATTTACCTGGATATGGTGGAAAGTGATCTTGAACCTAATATGCCTATAGGAGGACAAACAAGAGTGAATATTCGAAATGAACATTTAAGTTATATAGCAACCTGGTATGGATTATCTCTTATTACTGGTTTTTATTGTTATAGAATGTTTGTTTTGAAAAAACCTATTATGTAAATCAATGAAAATGTAATTTGTTGAAGAATTTGTATTATAGTAATTTTTTATGCTTATTTATTTATAAATAGTGAGCATAATTATAAGTTTATAAACAAAAATAAAACTTAGAGTAATTTATATCCTACTTTTATAATGTAATAACAATATTAAATTTTTTGAATGGTACAATATTTTACAGTACTCTATTGCAATACAGTCTTGATTCAGAGACAGTTTTTAAAAAAGAGTTGAAGTTTTACGATGTAAGATATTTTCTTCCATACAATTGAGCCTTTTTCTCAAATCCAACAGACTTTATGGGTGTATTAAGTTTGTAGAATGGATTCATTGAATACTGCAAATGAGAAATTGTATTAATTAATGAGGAATTGCTAATAGTACATGGCTAATAGTATATTATAAAAATTCACTTTACCTTAATATAAGTCTCATACATTTCGTTGAAGAAATTTTTAATTCCATCATCATTTTTGGTATCATGTACCATTATGAATCTTATCTGCGTAGCAGTAACAAAGGCGCTAACGAACCATTGATTGAATTTGTCAACAATCTTGAGATGCATATTGGTCGTTTTCCATATGTTTTCGTCTACCAAATCAAGTGCAGCATGAGCGATGAACTGGCTCAAGTGAGAGTGATCCTCTTTCTATAATCAGACGAAAAGCTTTGCACGATACTACGATTGTTGTTAAGATCATTTTGTCGTGATAAAAAAACAACGTTCATACCTTGGCATCTTTGTTCAAGTTGGTGAATTCCGTTTCAAACAGGGGATTGTCCTGATGGCCGACAATAACGAAGTAGTAATTCGAAGTCATGGCGATGTCATTCGAGAGAATAAGTTGATTTCGATGTTAAATTTTCATTCGAGCGAACTGACAACGATCGCCTGCAGAGGAGTGCGAGTTCTGTCAAAACAACATAACCCTCGTCTGCGGCGCACAGTCAAAGCACAGTACTTGTGTAGTTCGACTCCAGCGCACCGTATCGATGTTGTTTTGTATACATGCACACGCGACGCGAGTGCAGTATCTATGGCATTTAATACAGCAGACGAGTAGCAGACGATGTTTTGCAGACGACGTCTGTGCGACTTCGAACACTTATCTTATTGATAATAAATAAGGTCTCCAATAAATGTTAAAGGAAACAAGCAACAGATGATTTTATAATTTCGTTCATCATAATGGTCCTATAAAAGGATAAAATAAAAAGCAAATGCTCGAACTTACAACGAATCTAGAATCGCTCCTTTAAAACCGGACGGTCCCTGTCGTGTTTACAACCATAGACTATACGTTATCGTATGTGAATAGCACGCGAAAAGTCACTCTTTCTCTCTTTACATCCTTCGAGGTGCAGTAAACTGTATGGGGCGTTACAGGGGCTTTGACATATACTCATTGCATGCAGACCTATAAGGTGTGCAGCAGCAGCAGCTCTCGTGCATCGCGTGTCTCTCTCTCTCTCTCTCTCTCTCTCTCTATGCTACGCCAAGTGCAAACGTCACTCGCTATATACAAAATTCAAGGTGTCCGCCGTCGTCGCCGCCGCTGCAGCAGCTGAGAGAGTGCAAGAGAGAGAGACAGAGGTATACAAGCTGATTTTTCGGGAGTCGACCTTTGCAGAGGAAGAAGAACGCGACTCGTGCAAATACTTTTCGCGCACGCACGCGCCCCCCACAAAAGTCTATGTTTGTGTTTTTGAGCTTGTATTAGTGATAGCTAATTGTTGTACAGTGCGTTTAATATATACTGTACACCTCTCGTTCCTTTGTATCAACAACACACAAGAGTCAAAACGAAAACTGACCGCTGCTGCTGCTGCTGTTGTCTGATTTTGTGTGTACCCGCGCGAGAGTGACTTCTTACTCTGCGTCAGCTGCACGTTTAGAACGAACACGACAAACAATCACTTGTGTCGTTCTCAACATATTATATGCTGTACAGATAACCGCATACGTGCACATATCAGCGGTATTATATTAGCTACTGTATTAGCCATCGTTGTCCTTATACAAGTCGACAAGTGCGTGTGTGTAACATCATTCGAGGAGTAAAAGTTCGTCGAAGGAAGGAATTAAGGAAAAAAAAGGAGAAAAATGCTGACCGTCGATGATAGAAAGGTGAGTGTTTGATGCAGTTATGAGTGCGTCTGTGTATGTCTGTATGTGCAGTATAGTTGCGCTCGATCGTATGGAGTCTCTCGCCTGCAAAAAAGCCTGTTTGACTTCTCTTTCCGCGGTGGCAGCTTTATTCATCTTGTGTACGCGCTATATGTATACAAGAAATTACTTCCCGATTCTTGGGTTACTTGCAAGTGTTTGTGTGTGTGTGTGTGTGTGGGGGTACACGCGGTATGCGTGTATACGTATAATACTTACATATTATTGAGTGTAAGCTCTCGATATAAACGATGTTTATTTTATCTTATCTAATCGTCGCTGCCGATCATCGCTGCTCGTTTTAATGTAGGCACATATTATACACCAGCTCTTATGTGTAGTCTATAGCCCCAGAACTTTTTTTCTATGTGTGTATTCCTCTCGATAATACAAACAAAGGCATCATCGCGCATTTTCTCCTTTTTATTTGACTTTCTGCTAATACACCTTCATTTCGCCTCGCTTTTCTTTTCATTACTCTTCTTCCTTTTTTATGGCTCTACAAGTCAAGTCCGCGGCATTTTTCCTATCGATTACGATCTGTCCAAATATTTACCTTGCACACTTTCAGACGCTTCATGTTTTTCTTTTTAATGCAAGATCGATCAATTTCAAATTACTTTTTTGATGAAAGGCAACGAGTCAACTAATGTCGTTCAATTATGATGTAAAATTAAGATAGAACACATCGAACGAAAAACTTCGAGTCGATTATTTTATAATAGATCGTAGGATTTTATAATAATAACTGTCGTTTCAATTATTCTCTTTACAACTCGGCGTCGAAAATAAATTTTTCAATGACTGCCAAAAGATGCGTATATAGTTTGTCATTATTTCATCTCGATTTGCTCGAGAGCCAACAATCTCTGAAGTGCAACCGTGGTTATATAGAATTAAATGCATTTTTATATAAGATCAGATTATTCAATCACTAATCGTTATCTGTGATGATGTAATGATTTTAATATTGACCAATTTAGTTATAAACCATGACAGAAATTCCCGTAGTGCATCTAAACAACGAAATTAACCATAATACGTTAAGTTTTTTCAAATCTACTGAAAAAGAATTTTTTATGAAATAAAATAGAATAAATAAACTGAATTAATACATTTTTTCATACTAGAGATTTTTCCACTAAAATATTAATAACTTTTTATGTTCGCTGCAATTGAAGGGGGAGCTTTATGACTCTTATGTTAATTTTAGATTAAAAGTTATTTTTAGAATGGAAAAATTTTAAATAAACGACCCTTGATTGTAGTTTACAATAAACTGGCTGCTATCTATGATAAGCAAATTTTTGGAAAAGTCGAAGTAATCAAATAAAAGTCACACAAGTCTTTGAATAAATTATTGAATAAATTATTGAATAACTTATTAAATTATTATTCGATTTAATTATTAATTAACAAATTATTGAATTATTGAATAAAAATGAACATTATTACAAATGAAAATGTCTTAAAGTGCGAAAAGTTATCTATCTTCTTTCCAACGCCGGAAAGTCTCGGCGAAGACTGAGTCAACTCGGGTGAATATCTCCTATCGAATGTACGCTCTATTTAAAATTTAAATTATAAAATCTTCCACGAAAACTTTAAATTTCCGGTCCCCCAACTTAACGACGACGCACACCACTCGCACAGATAAAATACAAGCTTATAAACGAGCTCGCGTCTTTCCGAAAGAAACAAAAAATACCCAGAGAGCTCTACGATTTCTTTTCAGAAAAATAAAACCCACCTGATAAGAGGCTGCCTGCCTGCCCCGCGCGTTACAAACAGAGCGTGCAAAAGATGAGCGATTCGCGCCGTTCGTTTAACTTAGAAGGACGAGATAAAATTATCTATTAATGCAACAGATTACATTATATTTATGAAAAATTCCACGGGGTTATAATATGTGCTTCGTCGTCGTCGTACAATTGCGCGATTGACTGAAATATAATATAATGACCGGGCCGATTGATTTTTAATTGATATAATCTTTTGCGTACGCACAAAAATCGTCATTCTTTAATGAATCACCGTATAAACGCATAAAGATAACATTACTGAATTCTATAATCATAAGCGTCGGTGAACTGGTCTACTCTTATCGTAATTTAATTTTTTAGAAATAAAGTCGTTCAATGATTTCATTGAGTAATAAAAGCAAATGTCAAAGGTTGACTTTCTGTTCACTAGCGAATGCTTGCAGCAGCGTCGCGCGATACAGCGCAAAAGATATACGTTTTTGTACGTAAAATATACGAGCTTAGATATGTGGAATTTGCAAGAGGAAGAAAGAGTCAGAAAAAGATTCGTCTATCAATGAAAAGGCGTCCGCGCGGCGCTCCGCATAATTTTTAGTATATACGAATTTAAAGAGGCGATATGAAAAGCAGCAATTATTATCTTTCGCGAAATATCATAATGAATTAGTCTTTTTGTATGTGCGTGTGTGTGTGTGTATACGATGTGCATCGTCTCCTCCACCGAGGATGGCAAATGACGATGATGACAACAACATCAACAACGACTGCCGCTGTAGTCGATGTCGGTGGCGGCGGCAGTCGTGGGCGGGCCCGTCGCACACACAACACAGCACACATGCACTGCAGTCAATTGCGTGTTCAAAATGCGTTGGTGTGTACATACACCTCAAATACGTGTATATATATATAATACATCGCCATACGTTGTCATCATCACGGATATACACATCATATATATATTATAAAGAGAGAGAGACGCGTCACGTGAACATGATAATAAACGAGTCGGGCGATCGGGCCCAATATAGCTCGCCCGTACACACACACGTACGTGTACTACACACTGACTTTATTAGTCTGATAAGGCTCTTGGAGCTTTTCCTATATTCCGAAGAGCGCCTCTGTGTACAATATGCGTCGTTTCTTCTCAGTGTGAGTGCGCGTATAAATCGTGAGCAGCACACAGAGTCTCCGAGGCTGTTGGACTCTTTTTCTTTTTTTTTTTCTTTTTTTTTTTTTTTTATTATTATTACATATACACGCGCGCGCATATACTGTCGTACATAGCTGCGTGTATGTACTCTATACACTGACGCGACTGCGAGTTGACTTGTTGTTCTCGCGCGCGCGGCAGATCCAAAGGCTGAAAAGTTTCGCGCGGAGCGCCAGTCAGAGTCAGTCAGTCAGTCGCTCGTATATAACGAGCTTCCAGGCAGCGCTGCTGCTGCTACTGTTTTTGCTGGTATACTCGGTGTACGGCGGTATATAAATCTCCCAAGCGAGCGAGCAGCGACACGACTGACAGTCAACGTGAATTTATTTATTGCCCGTTTATGTGTGTATTAAAACACTCGAGTGTAATAATAATATAATAATTATTATATTTGAACGTGCGACGACGTTTTGTACCGTATTACACACGCAGCCGATATAATACCGATTTTGAGTTATCGTCTGCATCATGGCGAACGCGTGGACCAGTATTTACGTGAGTAATCGACACTGCTTTGCTTTTTACGGTTTTATTGCCTCTACTACCTGCCTTTTGCGAGTCGTATGTTTTTCTTTCTCATTCTTGTCTTCTTTCTTTGACGTATTTATAAATTGAATCGAGGTGTTTTTGTGTTCAGGTTATTATATTATATATTGCTAACAAATATTACTTTTTCGGAAACGCGTGCTTATCTGGGTTTACTTTTTAATGGCCTACGAAGACAATACGTTTTTGGTTAACGACCGATTTTTTCCTAAACACCGGTATACATCCGATAACAGAAATTATTTCCATTTCTTTTTTGATGTGTACAACGAGCATCGACTGCATTGAGAAATCGTAGACTTTTGGTTATGAACGAAACGGAGCTTTTTGAGGAAAAATCAAAATATTTCCTACACGTGTTATCGAGCTGAAAGAGATTAGGAATCGTTTCGTCTTCATTATCTTTCATAAATGCCCAACGATAATATTCATTGCAATGCTCTAAAATCCGAAGCATTTGAAAAAAAAATTAATGCTCGTCGTTGGCTTTTTATGAATGAAACGTGTGCGCGAGCTAAGCCGAAGCTTGTAAATGTCTGTAGTGCTTTTGTACGTTTCGCGTCTAATAACACGACATTATTTCGCATTACCATAAATTACCACGATTAATGATAAATCTTACCTCATCCTCTGTCAAATTTGATTTTTAACAAGAGATCGAGTGATGTAACGCGTGCTTGGATATGATACTTTTGCGAGCAGCAAAAAATCGCACGTGCCGATCCTGAACTTATTCTTCTTCTTTCTCTTTGTTGTTTATTAAAATTTTGATTTTTATCACATTATAAATTTTTCTTCGCTAAACTGCTATATAATTAATGCCAAACAGATCAGATAATACGAAGCAAACAACTATAAATATGTATAGTAGTGTAAGTTTTCTGTTGTGACATTTAAAGCGCTCTCAAGTTATCTTATTTGCGCTATTTATCACTCGATAATACGAAATGGTTAGTCTATGACAAAAAATAAATAATGGAAGGATCTAGCACTTGGACTTTTCTGGATCATACATCTGAATATTAGCTGCAATAATTTTTATTCAATCTTTTTATTTTGAAGAATCGATGACGCTCAAACGTTTCCAATGTATGTTACAAGTCCGTAACTAATCTCGTATCAAATTGAACGTACCAGCGAACTGATAATTTATTGCGTAACCTCTCATGAGCATTGAATTTTGTCTTGTAATTCTGACAGCCGATGCGTGTATGTGTACCCGCGCGTATGCACACACGCGTACCGCCACGTTTATATGCATGTATATGTCGCGAAACGTCATAGAATCTCGGCTCAAGTGCAAGTGTATAGGCTAGAAATGGAGCAGGTTGCATTGTTGAACGACCTTGAAAGGAGCGTATCATTTTATTTACGGCGGCCTTTGCGAAAGAGAGAGAGAGAGAACAAAAAATACACAATTATTTCCGAGTCGCAGGTGTAATATACGGAAAAAACAGATTCATTTCGAGTGTGTACAATTAAATTATTCATATTCATTGTGAACTCTTCGGTTTTTTTTTATCTTTGCACTCTTAATCAGGCGTAATAATTTAATAAGGCTCTGAAACAGATACTTTTTTTAATTCCAAATATTAACGATGATTCTTTAATTTTAATTTTAGATTGAATCAAGTTCAATTAGTAATGATGAATTTCGATTTTCTCTCTAGGCTCGTGGACATCAGCGGAGCCCCTCGGACTCTCAGGCTTTCAAGGAGAGAACTAAACGCGATGCACTCGCTGATCTCGAGCACGAGCTCGCCAGAATCTCGCTGACCGCCGAAGACTTCGAGAAGCAGGCCATCGAACAGCAAAATGAAGGATTCAAAAAGCTCTTCGAGAGATTCATCGAGGGTAGCGGATCGTCCTTCAATTGGGACAAAATCCAGAAGCTTCCGGACGACGCGGTAAGTCAATTTTTCATGTTTCTTTTTCGTCTTTTACAATTAGCAACGAGCTCAGTGGTATCATACGGAATTTCCGTTTTCCAGATAAAAGACTACGATGCTCTGCCGGAGCCCGCGTCGGAAGAGATCAAAGCCCTGCTGAGCAAGTTGGTCGTGGTGAAGCTCAACGGCGGTCTTGGAACGAGTATGGGCTGCCACGGGCCGAAATCCGTCATTTCCGTGAGAAATGGTCTCACCTTCTTGGATCTTACCGTGCAACAAATCGAGGTGAGTTGCAACGATGACGCAAAAATATCTTATCGCGTTTATGCACTGTAAGGATGACGATAAAACTAAATTTGTATTTTTCAGGCCTTGAACAAACAGTACGGATCGAATGTGCCTTTGGTACTGATGAACTCGTTCAACACCAATGAAGACACGCACAAAATCATCAAGAAGTACAAGGGAATCGACATCGAGATCCACACCTTCAACCAAAGCTGTTTTCCACGTATCGACAAGGAATCGCTTTTACCCATTGCCAAGCATAGTAAAATTAATGAAGATTTGGACGCGTGAGTTGTTATAAAATCATTTTTTATTTTATATAATTAGCTGAGAAATCATTTTTAACCAATGTGATATTTTAAAATTAGGTGGTACCCACCAGGGCATGGTGACTTTTACGAAAGTTTCCACAAATCGGGTCTCTTAGAAGTCTTCCTCAAGCAGGTAAATATTTGATATTTGATTAAATTTTTAAATCTGCATGCAAGCTAAAAATATTTCTGTTAATACTTATTATTTAACAGATTGATAATGTTTTTATTACAAATAATTTTTCTATAAATCAATGAAAATGTTAAACAAATCTTTCAATTATTTTAGGGAAGAGAATACTGCTTCATTTCTAATATAGATAATTTAGGAGCCACAGTTGATCTAAAAATTCTGCGATTAGTGTTAGAAAAATCAAATGAAATGGAGTTTCTCATGGAAGTTACTGACAAAACGAGAGCAGATGTTAAGGTGATTATCACAGTCAGAAATAATGCTTTAAATATTTAAAATAAATGAAAGATTAATCTTATTATTGTGATCCAAATCTGTAGGGTGGTACGTTGATTCAATACGAAAATAAATTGAGACTTCTTGAAATCGCCCAAGTGCCAAAGGAACACACAGAAGACTTTAAATCAGTCAAAACATTTAAATATTTCAACACCAACAATCTTTGGATAAAACTTTCTGGTAACTATATTGATTTTTTTTCCAATCTAATACTTGCTTGAGTAAAAATCGAAAAATAAAAATTAAATATTATTTTAGCAATCGACAGAGTCCTGAGAGAAGATGCTCTAGACATGGAAATAATTGTTAACGCGAAAACCTTTGAAAATGGTTTGAACGTTATACAGTTGGAGACGGCTGTGGGAGCTGCTATGAAAACTTTCAACGGCAGTTCCGGTAAGAACACAAATAATTGTTTTTCCATTCTTTTTGTTTTTAAAATTTCTGAATTAATGAATGGTATAAGTTTTAATAAATTGGCTCGTATAAATTATTCATGATTGTTCTTTCATTTAGGTATCCATGTACCGCGAAGCAGATTTTTACCCGTGAAGAAAACTTCGGATCTAATGCTAGTCATGAGCAATTTATACACTTTGCGCAACGGATCTTTAACTATGTCACCAGAGCGAATGTTTCCAACTACGCCCTTGGTAAAACTTGGAGACAGCCACTTTTCCAAAGTAAGCCGTTTCAATGATTACGTTGTTTTTCTAGTAAATTGACGTACCGTTTCTATTAGTAAAAAAGTAATAAGAATAAAAGTAACTTTACTAACTTTTCATACTTTGTTTTTTAGGTTAAAGATTTTCTGAACAGATTTCCAACGATCCCAGATCTGTTGGAACTGGATCATTTAACCATCTCCGGTGATGTAACTTTCGGTCGCAAAGTTACCCTGAAAGGAACCGTCATTATCATCGCGAATCAAGGGGAGCGCATCGATCTCCCGTCCGGCACGATTTTGGAAAATAAAATTGTCTCCGGAAACATGCGAATCATGGATCATTGATTGATTCCAGCTCGACGCAAAAAAATGACTAATTTTTCGATATTTTGTAATCAAAAATGCAGAATAGTTCGGGATATTGTAAATATATATTTGTAACGGAAGGCTAAGTGGCTGCTGCGCGGTATACTACTTAGTAACGCAATATTTTTAAAATTTGAATACTAACTTTTAAGTTTAAAACCTTAACATAACGTTGACGTTAAAGAAATTAATTTTCAATTTTTGATCGTTGTTATCGAGATTTTTTTTAGACCTTTATGGAAAACAAATGCGACTTTACCTTACAATTTATTTGATAATTTGGCAATCAATTATGTATTATTAGCGACAACTATGTTAATCGTATGCACTAACGTTTATTATTGTAAAATTATTTTACTTTCAAAATAAATTAGAAAGAAACTGCTATGACTCGCATAGTTTTATTTTTAATGTAAAAAAATTACAAATGTATCTAAAATCCTCAAATTTCTTTATTAACAAAAAAATGCTCACGAGACGATGAATTGTAAAAAAAATCACGCAACGAAAAACGAATCATTTGCAGTGCTTAATGAATTCCAACACATCTTGAACGTCCTCTTCGGAGCCGAGATATATGGGCGATCTCTGATGTATGCTCGTCGGAACGACGTCCAAAATATCGCGTTCTCCGTTCGACGCCAGTCCACCTGCTTCTCGCACAATGTAGGACATCGGGATGCACTCGTACAGCAAACGCAGCTGCAATCAATGTTTCGTGTAAATTATTATTGTTTAAACGTGAGAATAAATTTCGTATAAAATCTACGCTATAGCTTGTGCGAAATTACTTTGCCATTTGGATTGTCCTTGGTTGCCGGGTACATGAAGATTCCTCCGTACTTGATGGTTCTGTGAACGTCGGCCACCATCGATCCAACGTATCTCGAGCTGTACGGTTTACCCGTGTCCGGATACTTCTTGGACGCGACGTATTCCTTTATGGCTCTATCCCAACTCTTTTCATTGCCCTCGTTGATGCTTGAATGCATACATCGTTAGCATAAAAATAAACGACCCATGTCGTAGTGCATTTAAAAAATTCGTTTACTCGACATTCACCTGTATATTTTTCCTCTCTTTGGGATCTTCATGTTTCTCTCGGTCAAAATAAACTCTCCTATGGACGGATCGTAGGTGAAGCCGTTGACCCCGCGGCCGATCGACAGCACCATCATGGTGGCCGATCCGTACAACGCGTAACCCGCGGCCACGAGATTTTTGCCGGGCTGCAACGCGTCCGCCACGCTCGGCGCAGTAGTTTTCCCGGAATCGTCGAGCCTCTTGTAGATGCCGAAGATCGAGCCCACCGAGACGAGACAGTCGATGTTGGACGAGCCGTCGAGCGGATCGAAGCACACGATGTACTTGCCGTGATTCTCCGTGGTGACCTCGATCGCCGTCGGATTCTCCTCGGAGACGAGGAGGCAGGTGGTGAAGGACGAGCTGAGCATGTTGATGAAGAGCTCGTTGCTAAGCACGTCGAGTTTCTTGACCTCCTCGCCTTGGACATTGGTGGTTCCGGCGATTCCGTACCTATATTATACGAGTGGGTGCACGTGTGCGCAAAACGTGTCTGTATTACGTCAACGATCAGAATTTCGAGCAATTTCTTTACATCGAGACGCGCTCGCGATCAAACGTATATTATAGAAATTGTTAAATTTACAACCGCGTCGGCGATTGATAATAAGCGAAGAATTCGCCAAAAATCGCTCGTGCGTCGGCGAGTCTCTCTTATTGTTCACGTTTCTTTATATCGGAGCACGTGCCGAGCATCAAAAAAACAAAGATAGTTCGGGAGAGTACACATATACTCCTAAAGAAATTGTGCTCGGCAGAGCAGCAGCTCTCTCGCTGATTTATTGTCGTATCAATAAACTAATCCATCACGAATTATGTACACGGTCTCGTTCAAATCGCGTTTACGTCAATGTTTATCGAAATCGTTCGATGTGCCTCTTGTGAATCGCGCGCAAAAATTTCGAAAGCACTACACACAGGCAGAGACGGTAGCACTTCATTTTTCGGTGATACATTCATTGTTTCGATGGATCTTAGATAGTAAAAGAACAGATGAAATAATAAGCCGTAATAATAATTACGTAAATGTGGCCATGTTACGTGAGTTCATCATCCGATCGCGCGATCGACGTTATAATGCTCTCGATTTTATTCATAATATTCAAATTATCTCGATACCTCCAGAGACTTCCCCTTTTTTATTTTTTGTTTATGCATCGTAAATGCAGGAAAAAAAAGGAAGGAAACTCGTCGGTCGGACTCACATGTTAGCGATGCCGGCTTTGCGCACGGCCGAGCTGACCGCCTTCACGGCTGTCTGTATGCTGTTGAGAAGCTGGGTGAGATCGCCGGTCGCATTCGGGACCTTGCGCTGCTCCGCCAGCACGAAGCGCGTAAGGGTCATGCAGTTCGAGTCGAAGGTCTGGCCGGTCGACGTCATGATGCTGCTGCCTGCTGTAGTTGTGCGGCTGGTACAGTAGTCTTATCTGAACGGAAAGAAGAATTTTATTACGCTTACGCAGCTCGCTCTGCCCATTATTATGTTTTCCATTATCAATGTGAGAAGTGCCATAGTCATCGATAGCCGGGCTAGACATAATATTTAACGAGTCATAATGAATAGAATTTGAATTGTAATAAATCATTTCGTAATCGCTTATCTATTGAGCTAAAGGTTTTTTTCCTTTTTCTTCCCAACTTTGAAGTAATGGTCATTATCGTGTTTGTTCACTTTTATTATGAACTTTCCCGCGATCGAGTCAACTTTCTGAAAACTTTCTGATTGGCATCGTTAAATGAACTTAAGCGGAGAGACGTAAACATGGTTTTTGTTTCAGATATTACAACTTGCTTCGTATTCGGTTTAGTTTATATTTAATATTATTATTATTTAACATTATTTAATAATACTGATATGATATTAAACATTTTTTGATAAGCGTTTAAACAGCTTCAAAAAAATCATCTCCTTTTTTTTTCTCTAAATTTGTCATTTAGCGACATGAAGTTTTTTACATTATACTTAAGCTTCAATCGCATACATAATTCAACAGCATATGCTGTGCAATGTTCTCGTGTCCCAATGACTTTTTGTTCTTCAATTTCATGAGATAATAATTTAATCTAGCGTCCGCTTGTATATGAACGAACGCCACTTTATGCTAAGCATATCATAATCACGATATAAACGGATTTTATTAAATTCCGAATTGTGATTCATTCAAATCATTATCAACGTATTATGACAAAAATCGAGCAAATCTCGTTGACATCAATAAGATAAATTTCTTTTTTGTTTCTCGCTAATGAGCTCGTTTGAATGTATTTTTTTGCAAAGTTAAGATAGATAGACGTGTTAAAAAATTCGACAGCAGCCCTGGGGCAAAATCAGACATCGTTCGATCACGATAAACACGTATACATATACGTAATAAAAGCACATAGTCGCGAACAAATAAAACAGGAACAATTTCACTTGTTGCAGCTTATATATTCGTGACAACGGCGGCGTCTCGATGCAGTGCACACAAACGCTTTACGTACGAGGCTATACGGCCCATGCATAGAGAAAAAAGAATCGCTAACCTGTGATGCAATAACTCGGCGAGTTTACACGCGTCGAATGTGTTTACTGTATACCGCGGGCGGCTGACACAACTACTATATAGTATACTTGACGAAAACAAAAAATAACAGAATTTCTTTCTCACGTATACGGTGTTCTCCACAGCAGACAGACTACAGAGCTCTCTGAGTAACTGTCGATACAACACTGAAAATGAGCTCCCTCCTGTCACTGACTTTGCTGCTGGTGTCCACAAGCCGATCTGCAATATTATGTGTATACCACAACAACATCAACGCAACTTCGGTCGCAAGGTCGGGCGCAGAACTACTACATTATGCTTTACGCAGACTTTCTCGATCGGTGCGCGACTTTTATCAGACGCGCCGCTGCTGCTATACACTCCCTGGGTGTATCAAAGTTCATCGTGTCAAATCTCATTTATACACACATTATTATATTATGTGCTTACATCGTTAACGCTCAAGAGAATGTTTTTGCACTATTCGAGGCGCGGAGGCGCGTTCCGAATCGTGCAGAATAATGTTATTTTTTGCACCGATAAAACGATTTAAAAATAAAGCGATGATCGCCAAGATATCTGTTTTACAAACAGAACAATGCTGAAACAGAGAGAGAGAGACACTTTCTTCGATTGATTAAGAGCGATCGATAAAATAATCCAGGATTCGATTATTTCCATTAAACGATATGACAACGTTCGATCGGATGATGATTTCGCGAGCACAGCAGAGAGTCGATATTTATCGGTGAAAATAATTTTTGTATTTTAGTCATCTGCGCTTCGCCAGAGCGTCGTGAACCGCGAAATGCGAAAGTCGGGCCCAGGATTTTGTATTATGTATTTTTCATAAAACTGATTTCGTAACTCTTTTTTGTCTAAATTTTCAATCGATTTTTCACGGCGCGATGGCTACTAAATGTCGTATATTCGGTTTAGTTGTCGGTGTAATAGTGGCACTGGTCGGTGTTTTATGTGGTTTCTTCATTTTTCCAAAAGTAGTATCCAATTCTGTTGCCGAAGTAAGTTTACGTTTTTCCCATCTCAACTTTGACTCGTATAAAATTTTCAATTTCAGCTTTTTTGTGAAATATTATTAGACTAATATTTTTTTTTATTTACTCGGTTTATAAAAAAATTTAAACCGATCTTTATATTCGTCCTCTCTAGGTTTCATTATTGACATTCAATGACAGCTATTTTCCCAGCACATTAATTACTTTGTTTAATTTTTATAAAATTTTGCCTCTAGAAAACGACATTAAACTAAAGAAAATTTCAGGGTCTCTGTAAATTGCTTAATAATTCTTTGAACGTCGTAATTATTACTTTTAACATCAGGATTGAAAATATACACAAGTCAAAGAACGAAAAAATTATTCTTACAAGAAGTTTCAAGCAGCATCAAATCTAACTTATCACTCAGTGTGACAAAACAACTTTATTGATATCAAGTTTAACTGTACTCGTTTACAAAATCAAAACAACCGGGCGACGGAATTCGAAAATTAATCGTCGATCTCGTGTTGCGCAAATCAAATGTAGCTTAGATTGCGTTCATCTACAGGAGTATCTACTTGAAAAAAGATGAGCCAATGTAGCTTATAATATAAAATAATGTTAACGTCTAACGTCGAAGACCGGTTGGGAAGGTCAGCTGCTCCTAATAGTAACAAGGAAACTTGATTCAATGCTACGATACAGGATTGTTCATATCGAGCCCTGACTATTTTTTTTCAGACACTAAAGTGTATACAAAAGAAATGACGTGGGTAAATTTTAAAAATCAATGCGTCTCATCGTCATTGCAAATCAAAATTTATTTGATGGACAATATATTTTAATAAATTTAGCAAAGTATATGAAAAAAAATTAAAAACCTGAAAGCGTATCACCCTTCGCTCACATTTTCATTTACGTAGATATCATTTTCAAGTCATAAACGTTATTTGAGTCTTGCATGGTCACGTTGTAAAAATGACAAAGAATGCGGTTTCGATGGAAAATTTTGCAAAGGATTCAAATTTGTATTCAAAGGAAGAAACTAAATTTCTGACCGCAAAAAACCATAAATCTTCATAAAATAAGCTTAAAGTGTAAAAATAAACTTGTTCGTATCTTCTTAATAGGCTCGTATAAATATATGTCTATTCGAAGATCGAAATGCACTCTTTCGATCCACGTGGAATAATTTCTGGACTTGTTCACGCTTAAGTATTTAATTTAAACGCATAAATCACTGCTACAGACCAAAAATTCATTACCTTAGTGCAAATTCATTATCTATTATTGTTAATAATTTGTATATTCAATTTTAACTTGTGATTTTCATAAATCAAGTGAAGTATAAGTAGAAATATTAACAATTTTTTCTATTTTTATAGTCAGTAAAATTATATGATGGATCTGATGCCTATAGAAGATGGGAAGAATTACCTATTCCAATGAAATTTAAAGTCTACTTTTTCAATGTCACCAATCCTGGTGAAGTTCAACTAGGACACAAACCTGTCGTTCAAGAAGTGGGCCCGTTTGTTTACGAGTAATGCTTATTTCATTTTTTACAGCGTTGTTGAACAGATCAAATTTAATTTAAAAAATTGATCATTTTAGTCAGTATCGATATAAATACAATATATCTAGAAATACTTCATCAAATGAGTTGACATATTATCAAAACCAAGTTTTGAAATTCAATTCTGAAGACTCGCACCCGCTCAAAGAAACCGATTTTGTCACTGTGGCCAATCTTCCGTTGATGGTAATAATATATTGAATAAATATATTATTTTAAACGGCTACAATGCGAAAAATACCTTAGACAAAATTAATATTTCCATAGTAACCATGTGCTTTCAAATTCTTATAAAAATAATCGTGTTACTACAGATTTTTTTTATGAAATTTACATCTTATGGTTTAAATAAACGTGTTAACTTTTCCTAAGGTATTTTTCTCAATATGGAAAAAAATTTATACTTAATAATGAATTAATAACTGTCCATTCAGGCAACCATAAATTCAGCCATGAAACTCAAATTTAAAATAAAAATTATAAGCAGGACCATGGATCAGCTTTTCGACAAACCGCAGGACCTATTTCTCAGAACGACTGTTAGAGATTTTTTGTTTGATGGAATACCAATTAGATGCCAGGAGAGAACGAATCCAGATCTCATACAGGCGTGTAATAGTGTTGATTATACATCAAAAAAGACGCCATTCATAAAATTACAACCAGATAATGGTTTCAAATTTTCTCTTTTAAGCCATGTAAGATTTTAGTTTTCCAATTCAGAACTTTCGGTTCCACTATTTAAAAAAAACATGATTCATTAAAATTTTATTCAAAATGTCGGTTTACAGAAAAATAATGCAGATGACGGTCAGTATACTGTCAAAAGCGGAGAAGATGACGTTCAGCTTTTAGGTGAAATAAAGTCTTGGAAGAATTCCTCTACACTAATTGATGTGTGGAGTAATGAAACTTGTAGTAAAATTTACGGAACTGATTCCACTATTTTTCCACCCCATGTAACGGAGTCGTCAAAACTTAGTACTTTTCAATCTGACATATGCAGGTATAGTTATAATGAATCAGATATATCGATCTGAAATGAAATTTTTTTTCAAGTGCGTATTCCATAAACTTTGAATTTGACCCTTGCAAAAAACATTCGTTACAGCCATAATCTTTAAATTTCTGATCATTTAAAAATTATTTGCCACAATAATAGTGCAGTATTCTTCACACGAAAAGAAATGATGCGCTAAAATAACGAATCAAACAATTGTTTTCTAAATATTAAATTTATAATTTTTTAAGGTCCGTGGATCTAACGTATCAAGAGAAAACTACTTATAGGAAAGTAGATGGCTTAAGATTTATAACCGATGAAAATATGCTTACCGCATCAAGAAATTACTCTAAAAATGCATGTTACTGCTTGAAAAAAACTCTGGGAATTACATATGAGGATGGTTGCCTTCTTGACGGCGCTCTAGAGTTACAAGGCTGCCTACGTAAATAACGCTTTTCTATTTGTATTTTAATACTATTTTTAAAATGCATGAACTATGCCTGAAATTGTGATTTTTTTCCTGAAGCATATAATTTTATTCGTTTATTTAGTGAAACGATATAGTACTCAGATATATCCCTTTGAAAATTATCAATCTCAAACTTGTTAGCAAAAGTCACTTGTTTCTTACTCGTGCAACGGCAAATTTTCTAGGTCAATTACGAATCGAAGCAAGTAGTGGTATAATATTATTTCATCAATAAAAAAAAGAGGAGTTAAGTGGAAGACGATAAAATGCGAACGAATTACAACTTTTGGCACCATTAATTGCTACATATATTATCAAAAAGTTATCATGATAAAAACGAATTCTTATTCAATAATTATTTTGATATTTACTATAGATAAGGCTCACGAGACATTTTTTAGAAACAAATTACTATCTTTATTATTTGATAAGAAATTTTAAAATGATTATTGGACGAAAAAAATAAGATTAATATTCACGTACAACAAAAACAGACTCGCTTATTTTTGTTGACTAATTTTTAATGAATAAACTTGACTTAGCGGAACGAGATTCAAAAATTGAGCAATAACTATTATAATGGTTCTTACTTTTCATCCGTTTTCTAGATGCTCCAGTTGTTATGACCTTCCCACACTTTTATTTAGCAGCCGACGAGTATAAGAAATCCGTGGATGGATTGCAGCCAGTCCCATTGTTGCATCGTACTTTTGTCGATTTAGAACCTGTAAGCAGATACATTTTCAATTATTGAAAATACTATAGTTCAAAAGCTCGTGCTATAAAGTGACTTATTACAGAACACCGGTGTCGTACTGCGAGGTAGTAAGCGAGCGCAATTCAACATATTTTACCGATCTGTCGAGGGTATAAAACTGACCGAGAACTTAACTGACTCGCTCATGCCCGTAGTTTGGTTTGACGAGGTAAACAAATTTATTCAATTTATCAATAGCCTATTTAGAATTGAAAATTGACAAAATGTATCTTGAAATATTATTAAAGGGAGCTGAATTGAATGATGAAATGCTCGAAATACTTGACTTCAGTCTTTTTAGTCCAATGAGAATGTTGGACAACATCGTTTGGTCACTAATTGGTCTTGGTGCAGTCTTTGCCGTAGTTAGTTTAATGAGTTGTATGTTTAGGTAAAGTACTTATCAACTTGCAAAAATTGTGCTCTAAATATTTAAACAATTTTATCTAATATTTTTTCACGCTATTTTTTATCGGTTTCAGAAAAAAGACGTAAAACTGCTACTTAATAAGCGAGATATTGGATAGGTACAACATCAAAGCCATGAGATACTATAAAAAAATTTGACTCGACTTTTATGGAGATCTAATCAATCAAAGAATAAAATTGATAAATTTAAAGTTACTCGATTTTATAGATTTCAAATACGATTCATCATACTTTATATTTTTCGTAATAAATTTTGTAATTTTCCATAAAATCTACCTTAAAAAATAAAATATTTTATTAAAGAAGTTTGTGACGTTTTTAGATGATTTTCCTCTACAAACTAAAAGTGATTTTTCCGTGTAGCTTTAAAAATTTACGAAAAAACAACATAGTCGTTGCACACACCATACCTACACTTCCGCAAACAGGATAAAACTAACGAGGCCAACCGAGTGCCTCAGTAACAAATAAACAGTCTTGTTTTTTTTTTAATTTTATAATTAGATTGACCAGTTAAAATTGCCCAAGGTGTCTCGTAATGCATTTATTTTTATTATTAAATGGGGACAATTAAGTTATTTTTCCTCAAAAGTATTTTTACGTAAGCCATTGATGCTTTGACTTTATTTAAGAAAATTATTATCATACGATGAAAGAAAATTTGACATTTTCGAAAAGGTAACCGAGTAATTTTCGTGTTATTTTAATCTCTCTCAATACAAATTTTTGTAAATCAGTAGCTAGCCCTGAACAAGTGGGCACTGATTAGATAATTTTCGAGTACCCAGTATTCTATTAAGTACCATAGAAAGTACAGCAGATAAGCTCAATTAATTCTACGGTACAAAGCAAATTTATTATCTCGTAAATAATGATTCTCTTGGATTTTTTCCACTTTTCATCTTTCTCGCACATAATGACAAGAAATGGAAAATTTCACGTTTGTACTGTAAAATGTGGAATATAGTGTGCATGCAACATATAAAGATTTTTAATTCAATGCTGTGCGAATCTTGGTAGTACAAATAGAACATGGATATTTGAACCGGTCGAGCAAGCTAAGCCGGAATACACTTATGTAAATTGAAGAAAATGTGAATTTTCCCGTTTAATCCGATCGGAAAATTTCGGATTCTGTAGGAAATGAAAAAAATTTCGGAAGATCTATTTCGAAATCGAATGTAGATGTGATGCAACTCAAGATGTGTTTGGTATCTTAAAACTAGGCTCATGTGTCTCAAAGAAGATTTATTATCATGTTAAGTGAATCAATCAAAGTTTCACCATGATGCATCCATAAAAACTGAGCATACAATTCTTGACCTCTGTTGATTCACATCAGCCGCTTTTGTATCATATTAAAAAGGGTGTATCATATTAAGGTGTATCAAACACCTTAAGCTTGATTTTTTTCAATATCACGTCAAGTTACCGAACTCGGAGAGTAATCATCATTGCAGATGATTTAGCCAAGGTTGTTTGTTTAAATCATGAGAAGCACTCGATGTGCAAAAGAAAAAGAGGGCGCAACGGAAAATATTTACTCTGGTCGAGTGGTGAATGGAAAAATGTTTGTGCATGCTTTATCATTAATTTTTATGTATTATTGTAATGGCATTCACCCGTTTTTTTTAAATTATTATCTACACATTCGTACGATTATAATATCTGTATTTGCGATCAATATAAATACGAAAAATCATTTTTCCAGAAAATATTCAGCATATCGCGCGCGATAAAGTATAGACAATTCTATAGATAATAGCGAAACTTATGCTCTTATTCAATTGTTGCTTCTATTGCATTGTGGAAAAAAAGGTTCGACCGAATGTGTGACTTTTCGTATCTCAAATGATCCTAATAATTAAATTATATTGGATAAACGCATACATATTCAAGAGATAGCACATACAATTTTGCTGGAATAATATTTTCACCCAGAATAGAGCAAATATTTAAGGTTGTAAAGTTTTGCGACTCGAGCGAGAAGGTGTGTATATTTTGATGACAAAACTTTTTATTTTGTGAAATTAATTATTATTACGCATGTAGAGTCGTAAAAAGGTTGATCCAATTTTCTTCTTTTTTTTTTGTTCGTTTTACAAGCGGTTGACTCCGAGAACATGACGTTGTATGAACCTCTCGCACGTATTATAATGTCGAACCTAATCAGTGACTAATGGAAAATACGAAGGCGAAGTAAAGTAGATTTTAATATCCCGATAAAATACGTATACGCACATTGAAAACATCTGAGGAGTTTTACCCCTGAACGGAGGTGCAGTGGTCGAAAAGTTACACTCGCTTTTCAAAAACCGAACGATTTCTCATGCATATATGATTGAGCAGATAAAAACGAAACCCCAATCATAAATTATAGCTCTCTCTCTCTTTGATCACTATCGCTATTATTTTTTCCCAATAGACGATAAAGAATTCGGGCGCATACCTTTTGTATTAAATAAAAGAAGAAAAAAGAAGCTACAAAAGGTGAAGGAACGAGGATATGTCATAGATTCGAGACGTGCGTCTGCTCGCACAATCAGCGGAATCTTTTTCTTGTTTTTCGCCTGGTATGTGAATCGATTGTAAATAAATTTCGAGAGGTATCAAATTAGTTTGATTAATTTGTAACGCCACATTATACACACATGTTATAGGCACCCCGATCGTTTTATTGAAGCGACGAGTAAACACGCTCGGTTAAGGTAAAAAAAAACCTGCTATGATTGTGGGTGACGCTTTATCGGGGATTGAAACCCAAAATTTCGGAATTTTTATTCTTAATCTCTTAATACATTTGACACGAGTAAAGAAAGAGAAGCGAGGAATCGTTTTACAGCCCAAAAGTCGAGTGTGTACGCGCTCTTACGTGTCGGAATAGTAGTTGCTCCGCGTGCCCGATATCAGCTATGTTATCCTCATCGCAAAGACAGTATCTACGTTACCGTCTAGCTTCTAATCATTTTCGATGTGTGCCGTAATGGTCGGTTTTCGTCCGATGAAATAATGGATATTTCTCGATCGACGCCGCGCGTCTAAAATCGGATAACACGTAAAATGGGAAAAAGAAGAAGAAACGAACGCGATCGTCTCGTGATTGCGCACGTTACGCATGTTTGAAAACAAAAAAAAAATATTGTAATCAATATCAACAAATTTTGATGGCCTAATCGGTACGCTCGAATCGCTCGAAAAATACAATAAATCTTTTATTGAGATGATGTCGAGAATGAAACGAGACGACGTGCATTGCGGTGGCTACTACGTAACGCGAGCGAAGCTGAGGCACACATGCAGTAGAGAGAAAGAGGGAGTAAACAAAATGTTTAGCCTTTTGTTGTTTCATTATCATCGGCGATATATAGTTTACTTGTACTTAAGCGCAAAAAACATACGTAAGTACGCGAACGCGAAGTGCTCGTGCAAAGGCGCACAGTCTCTCTCGAAACAAAAAGGTTTTCACGACGTCGATGATGTATCTCGACGATAAGATAACATAGAAATATTTATGAAATTCTTTGGAAATTAACTTCTTACTTGGATTAATAGTTGCTGTTCGCGCGCGCGCGCGAACGAGCCACGATCCAGATTGACAATTAAATCTTGCGCGGCTGTTTATCGTACAAAAATTCGATTGTTTTACCTATAAAAACAACAACAGCAGCAAAAACAAGGCGATTAAGGGTACCTCGGTACGAGTATAAATGGGTTCAATAGATACGATGCACTCGCGAGCGAGAGGCAGTGGATTTTTCTTAACTTTTCTTACTTTTTTTTCAAGCGATCGATGATCTCTTCCCAAAAAGTGGGCGGACTTTCACTTTTTTCCAGGCCTCGAGCGACCAAAGCACCTCTGCTTCTCATATGCAATACATAAACGATATTTTTCAAGATTCGTTAGAATCGCGTATGTATGCGCCTCGAAATAATGAGCGCATTCTTTTGCGAAATTCTGCTGCCGCTTCGTGAAAAAGTTCGCCCGATTATTGTGCAGCAATAAGAGTTTCGAGAATTTCGTCGCGCTACAGTTTTCACGTGTGCGCTGCATTTTGCAGGTGACCGCAGCACACACGCACTCACATCAACTCTCGAGTCCATTGTTCGAGGTTGCTCATGACTTATCGTGAAAAAAAAAAAAGGAGAATCGAATGTGTGTCGCTGTGTGTGTGTGTGTGTGCCGGTTTCGCTCGGCGATGACGGACGAACCGCGTCGCGCAAGGAAGGAATACACACACATGCCTCGATTATTACGCATATTAACGATTGAGCACGTCGTAAGGTTTTTTTTTGTCAAACCATTCGCCGAGTATAATATTTTTGCGAGTGTGCGAGTATAAGAGTCGGATGTAAAAAGAGACTACGAGAAGAAGAAGAAGAAGATCGGCATACATTAATTTTGTATATTGCATATGCGAGAAAACTTGATATCCTGCAGATTTGTTTATCGCGCGCGTGGAGAGCAGTTTAATGTGCCATGTGTCAGAATACGACGCTAAGCCGAGCGGAAAAACTTAACAATATATACATTTGTGTGTGTGTATCGAATACATTTGGCATGTGTCCACGTGAGCGAATATAGGTGATAAGTGTCCGACTGTCGAAAGAGAGCGAGACTCGCACGCGTCTTGATAATGCTCATGATCACCGATTTCCGAGTATACAGAGAGTAAGAGAGTGAGGGATGCACGTGTACATCGAGAAATCCGAGAAAAATAGTAAATATAAACATGATTATTTTGACAATTCTCTTTTGACAGTCGACGAGTTCATTGGTCGCATCGCATCGCGTGCCCGTTTTTTCATCGTCGCGCGGCCAACAGATAGAAAAATGGGTCCCGTCGGCGGCGCACCGACGCGCTAGAGGCTTTCTCTCTCCTAATACGCGCTTATATTCATATACGATACACTTACACGCATGCAGTCCCACGCGCGCACACCGTTGCATTAATATATATATACATCATACGTCAGAGAGTAATTAAATTCTTCGGACTGCCCCAAGATATTAAATAGGCGTCTCTCGATCGCGTGAAAAGATAAAGAAAAAAAGAAATGTAATTACACCGTACAATGGAGATATAGAATGCCCATCGAAATCTCCTCCTTAGTTAGCCCCCCTTCCCCTGAATCTCGTACGTATGTGTGTATGTACGTAGACGCACACCTCCGCACGCATACACTCGCAGGCAGGCACGGGCACGATCTTGCCCCTATTGCTATACATTCGATGTCCCGGCCTATGCCTGCCTGCCTTGCGCGCGACTGCTGCCTGTATTACTCTCTGCTGCGCGGCGCATGTGTATAGCGTACGTGTGCAGCGTACGTGTGTGAGTGTATCGAGTCGATCCCGGCGCGCGCTATATAAGCGATACTTAGACGCTCGGCCGCTATCAGTCCGCTCCCGACCGGTGTACCTGCCGCATTGTTGTCTCTATTATAAAAATATACCCACACCAACCGACCCACGTGTCGCCGAGTACACCTCCTTTTTTCTTCACGCTTCTCTATACAGTCAGTTTTCGATTCAGTATCGTACCGGCAGTCGCACCGTACACACGTACACCTCTCTTCTGAACTCTTGTGAACATTAGTAACATTTGTATATTACGATACAATCGAGGATACTCTCTCAACGAAAAACAAAAGTGACGAATCAGTGATTTAAAAATATAAACTACCAACGACAGCCCATACACCAAATCGATTATCGATCGATATACTTCTCTAAACGTTGTTTGTTGTTTAAATCGTTCGCCTACAATCACGGATCCCGCAAGGAGCGCATCGACTTTTTCTCTGGCCTTTAAGGAACATCATGTCCCACGACAACTATGGCTTCACGGGCAGTATGGTGAGTTTTGTGCGCTGTGAGATGACCCCCTGCGTAGCTCTACATAGCCTTTTATATATATATTGTATATACACATCCATTGGTACTCTTACCGATGCCGTGGAGAGAATGCCTTTACATTTAGCACACAACAGTGAGACTTGAGACTTACGTCATTGTCATTTGTCATCGATACGCGTGCTCGTCTCCCCAAGCTGCTCGATAAAACAATAATAATATGAACCCTCGTGGAAAGATTGAGAGAAAGAGACAAAAAAGGGAAAAAGAAGAAGAAGGGTTTTTACTACTCGTGAAGTGATTCAATTTTGTGCGTATACAATACGATTTAGAACGTATGTTTATAAATATACACAAAAGTGCCGTAATATGCTATTCGGTGCTGTCCGATTCATTGAAAGTTTTTTTTTTTATTGCTGCCTTTTTCTTTCCGTCGCGATTTGTCATCGCGCCGACCGCAGCAAGAGGCTCATCTCTGTGCAATCGGTCGAAGGATACAAAAAAAAAGTAAAGAAACGACTCAAAATCTCTGCTTTCGAATCGTCTACATTGCAAGCAGTGGAAAAAATTGATTTATAATTATGTTAAATGATTGATCGCCTTGCACAATGTATATAAGTTCTTCTGAATATAGTGGTGATTAGCTGCATCAGCTACTACCGTATTTAATAAAATATCGCGCCTGTGATGACAAATTTTTCGATGACCAGAAAGGAACGATAAGGCGCGAGCACAGCAGCTGGTTTCAATTACAATATCGCCGCTAATTGACAAATAACGACTCAGTGGAATAAATTCCTTCTCCTTGCTTCTGCTGTATATGTCAAAAGAGAGAGATGCGCTTAGTCTTGGGTTTTTAGAGAATTTCTGATTACACGCGTTTATAAGAAAGCCACGGCGGCCTGAATATATGCTGAATTCGCTTATCGAGTCGCGGGGCACAAACTCGCGTGACCGAATTGTTAACAATCTAAACACACTCACACAAGTTGATTACGATTTGTATACAAACACACATGCACACATACGCGTACATAAAGCAGACACAAAATCAATTAATATACGTGCTGTACCTATAGTTTTCGGCCAAAGTTAATTATACTGACCTCAAAGTTCCAAAAGTGTTAATCATTTGAGAATTTTCTTACCTCGCGTATAATTAACTATTGTCAATTCATATTCGCTCGACGCGACAACCGTCTAATGAGATTATAAGGCATTTGTTTCATTTCGCGCATAGCCAGCTAGCTAGCTAGCCGCAGCGGATAACGGAAAATCGGCTTTTTTGTTTTACCTCGCGCGAACGTACACGATTATTCTAGATTTTTCTTACTACGGAAAAATTATCGCCTGCGCGTCACGCGAGTACAAGGTACTCCGCCTGATTTTTTTACTCCTCTCTCTCCCTCTCGCGCGCGTTCGTTCGCTCAGGTATGTAATAAATACCTTCAATCTCTCTCTACGTACGATTAGTGTAAACATCTTATCTAAGATCGATAAAATATTGATAATCTATCGAATCGGACGTCACAAATTTGTTGATCAATAGCAACATCTTGAAAGAGATGCGACGTCGATAATATTGTAATGGAAAATTTGCTCCATAAGTTTATTATCGCGCGCGCGAATTAAGAAAGGAGAGAAAAAAAACAGTAATCATAATCGAATTAATAAGTGCAAGCCTTTTTTATTTTTAAACATTTATCAATTTTTCCATTGTAATCGGAGGAGGGCATAACATTGGATTGAATAAACAGCCGCGCATCTGCCGACGCCGCCGATTTCGGTGCGTGTGTCAGCTGTACACACGATTTTTCCCCGGGTTCGCGCGATCTTTTTTCAAAAAATCATAAACAAGACCGAAATTGTTTCTCTTTCTCTTCTTCTTTTTTTTAGCACTTATATTAACGTGTCACTGTTTACTCATTACACTTGGTTTAATCAGTCTGTGTCGGAGTCTTGCGTTCGAAAAATAGTATTATACATATCAACAAACAAAAAAAGAGGAATGTGTGTCATTTTCCGCTTTATCGAATTATCTCCGAATTCCCCCGGATTTGTGTTCACATAATTAAGAAGAAACACACACACACACACACACAATTATAATTCAAAGAAAAAGATTTTTCACCCGAAGAGAATAAACTTCCCATAAGTTAATAGTTTTTTGTTAAGCGTCGGACCGAGCTCGCATTAATGTATCGAGTTTCATTAGAGGTCGAGTTAATTACCGGCACATTAATAAAAATGGAAAATTCCCGCATGCACGCAGACAGACATTATATATATACACATAAGGCGAGATTATGTTACTTCCACGATATGTAATATAAACGCCGCGTTCCATATAATATACAGTGGTATGGGGATATTTTTTTACGGGCTGTTATATTATATGCGTATATCGAGTAGCCCTGCTCTGTATATTTGCCGTTTCGATTTTATTATATTATAGCTATTTTATGGTTCCATGTGTTTGTAGATGTAGTACGGGTCTTGACGCATATAATAAGAATAATAATAACAGCAATGCCTTATCTCCTCCCGTTTCTTCAAAGTGAAAATCATGGGGAAGTTTACCGTGTGCGCTATGATTATTATATTACACGATAGGTGATTAAGGTAAAAGCCAAAAATCGCGGTTGATAATTGTCCAAATGGTTGGCGCTATAAACACGCGCGCGCACGCGTCTATAACACAACAGATTAACTCGCGCCCGATGGCAAGGAAAAAATAATTACATGTATACTCGTTTTCTAATCTATACACACGCTTCTAGGCCTTAGATAGCGGATTTACGCGCGCTAATGTTTAGATAGCAATGACAACACGGAGCGATGCATCGGATCTTCTATTAAAGCCTCGATAAACGAGATATGCACTCTTTTATTGTACACAAAGAAAATTAATTATTTATAAAAATAAGCTTGAAAAACTTTCTCGAGATCAGAGTCCCCCAAAATGTTACGTATACATCTCTGCTGCAATTGCATACATAGAGGCCCGCATGCGACGTGTAATATAGACCAGGTTAACACTCGCGGTGCAGTCGCGCTCGTGGCATTATGCAATTATAAAAAAGAAGAGGGAGATGCAAGATTTTCCTTGGCATACAGGTGCACACTATATAGCAGTAGCTCGCAGCTCGCGCATTCCTGTTAAATTGGCCACTTTACGCGCGGCGTCTCGTGTAAACTATTTTCCTCTCTCTCTGTTTTTATAATTTTTTTCCTATATATACGTCCACGTACAGCACGTATATCCGTATGTGTATAATGACGCTTTGAGATCGTTCCGCGTATATAATTGAAAAGTCTGCGCTGCAAATGAAGCATCCTGTATGTTATAGCGTCTTCATTATACACGAAGTTGCACAAACGTCGGAATAATTAATAATTCTTTTTTCCCCTACTTAATTTTACTTTTTAATTTTGAAGGAAAAAAGAAAAACAATAACGCGGCGCGGAGGCTCTATATAAAGTATGCGCGCTGCAGTTACGACGTAATCGTAAGGTGGCATTATTTCTTTCTTTTTTCTTCTTCTCTTACCTTCGAGGCCTAGCCGCGGCGACGACGTACATGTTTTATATACGAGGGAGCATTACGAAACGCGCGTCGTTGTAATCGATGAACTTATTGCGCTCGCGTATACACACATGAATGCATTTTCCTTTTTTGTCTGTATACAAACTCGGTTTTCTTTTTGCTCTCTCTCTCTCTCTCTCTCTCTCTCTCTCTCTCTCTCCTGCATCGTATAATTTAAGAGCTCGCGAAAAGTCGTGATTTATACGCGTAAACACAACGCGTCGGCTTGAGGAATGATCGATCGGCGCGAAGAGTGAGAGCAAATAAAAAAAGAAAAAAAGGAAAAAAAATGAGAAACGCGCGCGTAAGGAAGGAATTATGCATCGGTGTAATTCATGCACACGCGCTGCGGCATTCGTTCGTGCCTCTCTCTCGCGCTCGCGCGAATAATTGCGATAACTTTGTAATCGGAAATGTATTATTGACGAAAGCGCGCGGGCCTCTTTTTCTCCGGAAAAAAAATTCCGTTCCGCGAGACAATGTGATAAAAATTCTGCCTTACATGTTGTCGTTTTTTACTTTTTGCTGCATGTAAAAAGAGTCATTTTTAGTGCGATTATGCGCGATTGTCGTAAATTACCTAAAAAGTGAGAAATTTATATTGTACGTCCACTAATACGCTCGTTATCGTCTGATAATGGATCTTTGCGAAAAAAGGCAGGAATTTGCAGACGAGCTACTATATTCCGCGCGTTGACACGAGTCGCCGGATTTCGCGATTATCTCGCGAACGGATCGCGCACAATTCATCAATTTTTTTTATTGTTCGGTTGTCTTGTTTTATACAGATTGAAAGAGGCAAAAACCGACAGGTTTCATAACGTTCTTCTTTTTGTATAACCTCGTTTTATCGATAGATAAATCATGTTCTTCGCGCCTTACCTGATTATTTAATTCTTCCTCTAATGCGAAAATCTCGAAAGAGAGACAGGAAAAAATGCGATAAAACACCCACGCGCGCACGCGCGACGATGATGATGCCCAGTTCGCGTGCTCGCAGTCGTCGTAAGTTTCGTCACGCACGTAAAAAAACAGATTAAAACTACACGAGGCAGTAAAAAGATCATTTGTCCGTTGTTGCTCCTCTTTATTATTCGCTGCGAAAATTGAAATGCACGCCGTTTATGACAAACGAGGACGAGCGCACGTGAGAAGCGCGAGCAGCACACACACGATCGAGGATAATATTTGCATCAGTGGATTCCGACTTATCGCCTGCGCGCGAGAATCAACATCCCAGAAATGTGCATTATCCTCATAGCTTAATACGTATTCTTTTCTTCGTACTTTCCTCAATTGTAGCTCGTGTGTGCATTGGACTTTCTGACTAGACTGAGGCTGTTGTCTGGCATCTCGATAAGCGTATTTTGAACCTTTAAGGTCATTCTTTTTCTTTGGGATTATATGCTTCGTTTATCGCGTTAATCAAGCGTGCAACGAGAGATCAGCACTGTATGCGCGTTTAAAACGAAACGTGCCGCTTGTTGTATAATGATATACGAGCGGCATGCGTGTGCGAATGATCATAAAGTGGAATGATCGGCCGTCACATATCTCACGCGTGTATGCGCGTTGACGTTTACTCGGATTTTCATATATTATTAATTTTTGACGACAATTGTTCCCCCCCGAGCATAACTACCGAATGATGTCATTAAAAAATGAAATATTTCTGCTTGTGTTTTCCAGGTTACTGTTGATGTAAACAAAACAAAGAGTACCAGTGCCAACGCCAACCTCAACGCCAACGTCGCCAACGCAGCCAGTAACAACAAGTAAGTCGAGCGTTGCAAATTTTCATCCTTTTTTTTTCGTTCAAGTATCGTGCTGTACGTGCTATAAATTCGTAATAATCGAGATGATGACGAATTCGAAAGCAAAGCCAATCGGTTCGTACAATAACGTATATTTTATGAAAGCCTTGAGAAAATGATTTTTCAGTTCGTTCTCGCGCGATATCGCTTGGTGCCGATTTATCGACACTCCGTAAAAAAAAACAAACAAACAAACAAACGAGAGAGCAAAAAAAAATTGAATCCTTTTGCCGGTCACTACGCGAAAAAAACATGCAAAACGATTGGCAAAAGTCGCTCGCTCGTGTACCGTACTCTACTTATTATTATGCGCTCGCGCGCGCAGGAGCGTAAATGATTTGAAAATTATACGTGAAATAACAATGCAATAATACCGTGCGACCTTGTGCTTGCCTGCCTGCAGATATCCAACGAAGGACGGTGCAAATAATGGTTTCTACGTCGTCGAGCTCGAGGACAAGGGTAAGCTCGCCAAGGAAGATGCCGAGAGCTACGAGCCTTACCTTCACCGGGAGGTGCAGCACCCCACGACGTAAGTTTCAAGCACTTCCAATTTCTCTCAGTTCTCTCGCTCACTCTTACTCGACACTCTCTGACATGACATACATAACACATTTCGAAATTATTATGCTTGTTATCATTCACGCCGCTACTGCGCCTAAATATACATGTGTGCGGTGTCTATGTGTGAATTCCACACATGCGTATATCGTATAAACGCATTAGATATCGAAGTAAGATGAAAAGCGAGACGAATACGAGGCTCGACGCGCAGGAAGAGCGGCTCGTGCCGCACGTGTTACGCTATGCCTGCCATTCGAGATTTCCATGTGCATCGGGTAGTCGAGTCACGCGGCAACGGACACGTATATTTACGTATACAACGTAATGGTATATAGCTTCTGGCTTCGCGGGCACAATTAGCCATTGAATGTTAACCGTGTGTATACGTATGCACAATAGGTCGCGGCGGCGGCGGTCTAAATGCGGAAGGAACAAATGTCCGGGCGACGCGACGGGTATTGTTGCATTTCCACCGAACGTATGTACTCGCCAGGGTCAATTTTTTTCGCGATTGTCATCTTAATGCTACTACGTAAATTCGTGCAGCTATTGTCGAACGCGCGCGCTCAAAGACGAACTTGAGCGATTTCGGTGGCCATGTGTTGTCGAACGCGCGTCATCTGTTATAAATCGATTATAAGAGCGTCGAATGTATCATAGAGACGCGTATTACGGGAATCGAACGAATACGATCGTGGATCGGTTTTCACGGATCGGTGCAGCGTAAGAGAAATTGCGTAACTCTTATTTATTTTTTCTTATACAAACTTTATTAATTCATTAAAAAAAAAAAAATAAAAAAAAAAAATACATAATTTTTTGTTTTTTGCTATTTGCCCTGTATTCATTAATTGTTTACAGCGATCTCACGCGCACTCTTCATAAATATAGAACAAAAGTCACCCCGCGTAATGTGGTGGGATGAATCGGAGTGTTGTTCTCGCTGCGCATATCTCGGGGCCTCGCCAATTTTGTCCATTTGTTTTTCAATTAAAAAAAAAAGAAAAAAGAGTTAGATAGCCAAGTGGCCAGAATTGCGCGTACCCTGAGCTTAGTTACATATGCGCCGCGTGCAGGGCGACCGAATCATCTCCGATATGTATCCATTATCATATGTATCGTGTGTGCAATATAAGCGCAAACGACCAAGAGGAAGACGTAAGCGATTTATTATAATATTCATACATAATATTGTTATTCTTTACTTCTTATTCTTTATTTTTTTTTTGTAAATTATGTGATAGAATATGTAATTGTCATGTATGAGAGGATAACACACGTATGTTCGCGAGACTCTTCTCTCCTATTTCTGGGTATTATATACGCTTTATAATCATCAAGCACGTCACATACCTTCCTTCCTTTTTGTTTTGCCAACTTTTTTTACGATCGCGCCTATTTATCGCCGGTTACTCGTGTTACACACACACACCAACCACCGGTGCTCTCTTGCACGATGTGTATATCTCTCTGACTCCGCTAAAGAATACTTCCTTGTCGCGATTTACAATTAGCATATGCCCGCGCCTCGACAAGAAACATAATTACTTCATTTTTTTCTCGTTTTTCACCGAGCTGCTTAACATCTGTCTGTCATATCTTGTAAAAATACTTGTTTGTCTCTCTCTCACTCTTTCTTATACACGGGCTCTTGCAGTTATTTGCGCGATAACGAACACGTTTTCTTTTTTAAAAGCGAGAGAGATGGAATGTCTTTGAGAGAGGCTTTATGACTGTTTCGTTCGAGTATGCCTATTGTTCCTTGTAGTTATTTATAGATGTATAATATAATGTATAACAGCTAACACCTTAAAAATAAAATTAAAAAAGAAAAATTACTATGCACGAAAATCATATACATCGGGCAGCTCGATCTAATTTTGAACTCGTTCTAGATTCTGGGAGACTCTGCTGCATCTCATGAAGGGCAGCCTGGGCACGGGTATTCTGGCGATGCCCCACGCCTTCAAGAACTCCGGCTGGGTGGTGGGCATCATCGGCACCATCATCGTCGGCCTGCTCTGCACCTACTGCATCAGGCTGCTGCTCAACGCCCATTACGAGCTGTGCAAGAGGCGCCAGGTGCCCTCGATGACGTACCCAAGGACGATGCAGGTGGCCCTCGAGGAGGGACCGACCTGTTTGCGGGGCTTCGCCAAATATTGCCCGTAAGTATTTTTTTTTTTTTTTCATTTTTTTTACTTTTAAACTTTTAAGTGCACGAGACCGCGCGAAGCCGAGAGTTTATCGACTCTTTCGAGATGATCGCAAACATCGATATTCGATACACAAAGGATCTTGGGCGCGGAGATATAAAAAAAAATCGATATACTTGCACTTCTTATCGTGGTCGTCTATCGGGTTTTCTGTATATATATTGTTTTGTTCGCACGCGCGAGCTGCCGAAGAATGTGCAAATATTAAGTGCAAAAATAACAGAAAAAAGCGCACACGCCGCGTCGTATCATTGTTAATTTTTTATTTAAAAAAATAACGATACTACACTCGGAAATTATCGTTATAGTTATACGCGCTCTCGGGAATTCATATTCATTGACAAACATCGAGTTAGTAATATTTTTTTGTCTCTTTTTTTTGCGTTCCATCGGAATGTACGTAACGATGTTTGCGATCTACGTGCCTTTTGTACAACACGCGCTACGTACACAAACACACACACACAATGGGTCAAATACGTGTCTGTGCTAATATGCGACGGAATGCCAAAATTCTCATGTCAAATATGTACTTTTTCGTCGATGAATGAATCAACGCATACCTTGGCGCGATAGTAACAATAATAATAATGATGATAATTTCAACTTTTTCTCTCTACTTTTCCAACAGGCACGTGACGAACGCGTTCCTATTGATTTACCAGTTGGGTACCTGCTGCGTATACACTGTATTCATCGCGGTCAATCTGAGCGAGGTGATCAACCATTACACCGCGCCCTACGTGGTCAATCAGAAGTACATCATGCTGGCCACGCTGCTGCCGCTGATCCTCATCAACTGGGTGAGGAATCTCAAGCTGCTCGTGCCGCTGTCCACCATCGCCAACGTCATCACCCTGGGCAGTTTTGGTATCATCCTCTACTTCCTCTTCAATCGAGGCTTCTCGTTCGAGGGTGCCGTGGCCGTGGGCGAATTTGGAAATTTCCCCCTGTTCCTGGGAACCGTCCTGTTCTCGCTCGAGGCCATAGGCGTCATCATGCCCCTCGAGAACGAGATGAAGAAGCCCAAGAAATTCATGACGCCCTTCGGTGTGCTCAACATCGGTATGGCCATCAACGTCATTCTGTACGTTGGTATGGGCTTCTTTGGATACATCAGATACGGTGACAAGGTGGAGGGATCCATCACCACCAATCTCAGCAAGTCGCTGGTGCCCCAGTCCGCGGAGGTCTATTTGGCCCAGGCCGTACAGGTCATGCTGGCCATCGCCATCTTCGTCACCCACTCGCTCCAGTGCTACGTCGCCATCGACATCTCCTGGAACGAGTACATCCAGCCGAAATTGAGCCACTACTCCGAGAGGGCCCAGCTCTACCGAGAGTACGCAGTGAGAACCGCCATCGTCATCTTCACCTGTGAGTATATCCTTTTTTTCAATTGTATTTATTCAATTGTAAAAAAAAAAAAAAAAAAAAACAAAAACCAATTCACTTTGACTCGGAAAAATAATAATGAAAATCTCGTTGTTCAGTCATCGTCGCCGTGATCGTGCCGGAGCTCGACCTGTTCATCTCTCTGTTTGGTGCCCTGTGTCTGTCGGCCCTCGGCCTCTCGTTCCCCGCCCTCATGCAGACCTGCACGTTCTGGAAGACGGCGTCGAGGCGGACCCGCGCCTTCATGTTGGCCAAGAACGGCTCTCTCATCTGCTTCGGCGTGCTCGCCCTCTTCATCGGTACGTCGACGAGCATCAGCAAAATCGTCGAGAAGTTTGGAGAGACGCCGGCGACAGGCGCTCATTGAGCAGTATGTGTGCTTGTTGGTACATTCAACGACGAGGAGGAAGAAATGCGCCGCCGCTGTTACGTGATCGATCTCGCGCATCATAGAGATCGATCGATCGTTGTGGCAGGTAGTCGTCTTCTTCTCCTTCCCTTAGCAATTAAGTTTTTCCCCTTAGCGATTAAGTTTTTTTTATCATTTTAATTTTTTTTTTTTAATTCATTATGGATAAACATAATGCCGTGCGCATTTACAAAGGTAAATTTCATATAAAAAAAAAAGAAGTAAAGAGTTGCCCCGGGCAACAGCGTTCATCATATAGACAGTAAGAAGCTTAGAATATAAGTAATAATCATGTGTGGGAGGCCGTTAGAAAAAAATCTTTTTTTCTTCTCGGTGTGGCAGTATTTACCGCTTATCGTCGCTGCTCTCGCGTGCATCATTGCTAATATGAGCGCAAGAGCAAATGCGTACAACTAGTCTATAATCAGTCGGCAAGTTGAGAAGAGTTGATCTTTGGGATCAGTTTTCAAACTCATTCTGACGAATGCGCATTTCCATACACATTAATATATACATTTAGAGATATATATATACATTATACATTTTATTTATAATTTACATACACAATATACATATACGTTAAGATTTAGACATTAGACATTTATCTGTGTATTATAAAACTTAATTTCTAAAAAAACTAAGAGTCATATAATACAAAGGAAGTTCGACACGTATTAAAGTAAATACTCGCGATTATTAGTTTTTAGTTGATGTTTCGCCTCTGAGGTGTAGCTCCTATTATATATTATTTTGATGTAGAATCAGTGAGAAAACGCATTGAAACGTGCGACCGTCGTTGTAAACAAAACAAAACAAAACAAAAAAGAGAAAAGGGTACGATTAAAATTGAAATTGCGCGCGCGCATCGCAACACGATGAATGACCGGTTTCAACGATTTTTTTTTCGCATTTACATTTTTCAATCGCTGAGCATGTAATGCGAAGCTTGAAAAAAAAGATGTATTCGTAATTAAAATTGGTTAATTGTATGTCGATCTAAAAGAGCTTAGTGAAAAAGCGTTGAGGAACAAAAATATTTTTTTCATACCTCGGTACCACATTAGATAAAGAATTATTTTTAAAAAGTTCGTAGTCAATGTTTGCAGCTATGAAATTATTAGAGTCCCCAATTAAGTAATAACGTAAGATCTTGCCAGTTTTCATAGTTAATATTATTTCTCGAGGTTAACGATAGATCGGAAATTTTTTTTAAGTAACTAACTCAAGGTAGATTCAAATACAAATTATAAATCTTATCGATTGAAGAGCTTTTTAAAAATTTCAAAATTTAAGCCAAATTTCGCAAACTGTGTCTGATAAACGAACCAGAGCATATTTTTACCTTTTACATGACCGTTATTAAAAAAAAAAACAAAATTATCTTTTAAGTGTTGCGGCAATAGAGCTAGACTGTTAATCAATGACATATTGGGTTTATTCAATCCGATACATTTTTGAAACAGATGAAATAACAATGATAGTAATAATAATGATAACAATAATAATAAAATAATAGTCATAATGGCTTATTTTTGTACGCTTGAATTGTGAGATAAAAATAGGGAAAAATTATATAAATTTTTAAAGATAAAATGTGGTACTAAAAGTAGACAGTACAAGTGATTAAAGTTCAAAAATTATTGAGGTATAGCTAATTTTTAAATATAACTTCGCTTTTAAAATAAAGTAACATTTTCAAATGATCAAGTTCCTACAACGGCGCTTCGATAAAAAAAAACAGTTGAAACTTTCTAGTGATGTGCCAATGAACATATGAATGTATATGCATTGGGTAAGCTAATAGTTCTTATAATTCATTTTTTAAGCATCTTTTTGTAAAACGAGTAAGTGATTTGCATCATTAATTTCATGTTTTAAACATTTACGACTGTTTCGATTATCGATTTTTTTTTCTTTTTGAATTAACCGTGCAATCTACTGTTATAAGTAGTCAGCTCTAAACTAAAAATATTGGAATCAACAAAGTTGAAAATCATACATTTATGGATACTGTAAAATCGTATTCCATAAAAAAAAATTTTTTTTCTCTTTGTTATCTGAAAACCGCAAGATCGAATTTGTTTATTGGCTAATAGACATTCTCGTCGTTGTATGAATTACATATTCTTATTGTCACATTAGTGCCGATGTTCGGCATGTTTTGTAAATAATTTTTACAAAGCTATTATATAATGTATGAGCGTAGTAGATTTTTTTGAAACGATAAAACGAATGAATGAATTCTTGATAATTGTTAGAGTAACATCGGTGTGCAGCGAATTTCGATCAGTTCGCGACTGCAACCGTCAGCCCGTTGACGGTACTATATAGAAAAATGTTTCTCCCTCCATACATTTTGCAGTCTGTGATAGCTAGCGATGCTTCATGTCAATGTGTTTTGCAGGCGAACACTAATGTATTTTGTAAATTTGTAAATATATTTTATTACCTGATGGATTAACTTTTTAAGTGATTTTAAATAATGTAAGTGTACCTTTAAACCGTAATCAGTTTAACAGATATTTTCATCGTAAAATTAAATCTTAGACTTGATGTCCTGTATCTAAGCTCTATTGTATTGCTTTTTATCAGTTGTAACAAAACAAAAATGAATTGATTCAACAATTTTTTTTAAACAAAAATGAATTTAATAAAATGATACGTATTCCAACGTCATAAATTTATTCTTATTCATTTTAAATATCCATATCCACCTTTTCATTATCATAAGTAAATAACAATTTTAATGCTCATTTATTCACGTAAGTAGTTAAAATAGAGTAAATTATTTACTGACTGCTAGGCTGAGTATATTATTTCGATCGTTAAAAAAACCATTTTGAACCCTTAAAATTGAGTGAAACGAGTTCAGAATTTCAGATCAAATTGACGAACCACCAAGATAGTAGACAATTTAATTTTGGTTGATCAGTCGATTCCTTCACTGTTTATAAACAATAGCGGCCAGCGGGGATAACAGTTTCACGACGTACATTGCGCAGTGAAGGAAACGACTAATCGATCGCAAATTTTTGAGGTCCGAGTACCCAACTCCGCGGGTGTACTGTACACGTTCCATCACTCTGTACCGGGCAGAATCAATGTCCCTTTTAAAACCGAATGTGAACGTGTCTACTGTCCGCTACACAAGTCGTAGACAAGTGTTAGACATTCCATTGTTCTACTTGTCAATTGTTTGGATTCATCTTACTCAAATACTTTGGGCTGCGTTTCATCTTTCTTTCACAGTAAATATTGAATAATCTTGAAGTTGTTAGTGATTTTTATCAGTCATTTTAAAATTCAGATCGACTTAGCTTTGTATTATGGACGCCGAACGTAAAGCCATTGTTGACTTCTTGTCTCGACCTGAAATCAAAGATTTTGCGATGCGCTCGGATGCAAAGTATCAAATAAAATGTGCAGAGGAATCTATTAAAGCTAGAAAAAAAGGAAATAACATATATATTAAAAAAAAACACACAGCCGATGATCATCAAATGATTCTGTATTTTTATAACAAAAGTATAGCTTATGCTCCTAATGAATCTGAAGAATTGATGTATGCTTATAGTAATAGAGCATATTTATTGATGCACGTCAATAAAAATAATGAGGCGATAGATAGTTTAGATAAAGCCTTACGATTGACAAATTCAAGCAAGATGAAGTTGAAACTATATTGCCAAAAAGTCAAATGTCTTGCTGCTCTTGGATCTTCAACAAAAGATGATGTATTGAAAGAGATTGATGAAATTTTCCATACATCAAAGATATCCGTAGAGGATGCAACTTTAGTATCTACTATTATTGAGAAAACAAAGTCTGAAGTAGCATCAATGAAGCAGTTCAAACCTACTGATCAGAAGTTCTTATCAGAAGAAAAAGAGCGCAATAAAATTATTATTGAAAAAGAAAAGGTTGACTCATTTGATGTTGTTGAAATAAAATCGACGAAAAATATGGGAAAAGGTCTATATGCCAAAACTGATTTTAAAACAGGTGATATAGTGCTAATAGAAAAACCTTGTTTAATTCAGCCAGACTTTTCCAATCAATATGTATTCTGCTCTCAATGTTTAGCAGTCGCATGGACTGGAATTCCATGTGAAACATGTCATGATTATATATTTTGTTCTCTAAAATGTAAAAGCATGGCCTGGGAAGATTATCATCACATTGAATGCTCAATAACACCATATCTTATTTTATATAACCCACAAATAGTGAAATGGATTCATATGAGTCTTAAATTTTTGATATCATTAATGAAAAATAATAAAACGATTAATGAGTTCAAATCAAAACTGAAATTTTCTAAGAAAAATCAAGGTAAATAATAATTTTAAAATAATTGAAATTTTCTGAATTAATTCTATTGAGTTCTAGTTTATATTGTGTATTTTACAGTTGAAATGATAAATGAAGAACTTGAACAAAGAATTGAATTATTTAATAAATTAATGAGTTTTTCTCATATTTTACCACAGAAACCAAATTTTCTTGCAACTTGCGCTACTATTAATACATTGATTTATCTGATGAAGTATACATCTTTTTTTCCTGAACAATTGAAAAATTTGCAATACAATGATTTATCAAAGAATAAAGATTTTATTTTTATTGGATCTTTGCTCTTAAGATTGGTAAAAATAAGTGCTGTTAATGTTCATTGTGTAAGAAAAAAAATTATTGAAATTTTTAATCAACTTTAAAATTCAATTTATTTTTACGTTTTTTTTTATTTTTCTCAATATTAGATAGCAGATGAATCTACAGAGATTAGTAGTGAAGAAGAGAGTCAAAAACATCTTTGTCATACTAAATCTAGAGGATTTTGCATGGGAGTTATCAGTAGCATGACCAATAACAGTTGTACACCAAATATTAGAAGATGTTTCACAGATGATATGAAGTATGTTTTTTATGCCATGGAACCAATTACTAGAGGAACTCAGGTACTTATTAATATTGAATATTGTTATGAATATTTATTAAATAGGCTCTATAAAATATCATTAAATTGTTTTATAGCTTTTAGATGCATATAAAGCCTGCTTTTATAACTGTCCATTGATGCGTAGAAAAGAACTACATGAAAATTTTGTATGCCAATGTATTGCTTGTGAGGAAGATTGGCCTTCTCTTTTAATACCTGATGTAGATGAAGTATTCATGTCTCATAAACAGCAATTTGAGCCAAAAACTTTTTTCACAGAATTAAGATTTATGCAGAAAATCTCTCCATTAGTACACCGAATGACTCAGAAAAATTATTATTTTGATAAAGATTTAATACAAGCTATGACTGATATGATGAATGAAATAGTTCAGGTACTGCCCCAACCTAGTTTAGCTAGAAGTACGTTATTTTATCATCTTGATCTTATTCTTGGAAATTATTACGGTCTCACTATTAACTTTGAAAACTCTTGTTGCAAATAAAATTCATTTTTTCATAGTTTGCTGGTCAGTTTTCAAAAAACTAATATGTTTAAATAATTTAACGTGTAGACTTAGTTCGTGAGAGGATTTTGAATTTAGCAGAATTTTAGTTTTCTGATTTTCTCGCGTGTTATATTAAAATTGAACCGACGAATGCGGCTGAAACGATCTCTCTGAATTTTGACGGTCAGCTACTCAAGAAAACTGTCGTCAATACATTGGTTTTTTGCCCTTTTGGAGCTTATTAAGAAATTAAGATTCAGTGTCTTCGTATTCAATACAAAAATCCCTTAATAATAAAAATATTTAAAAAACATTGATTCTTATTATTAAATACTACCTACCTTTAAATACTATCCATACTTTCAATTAAGAGATTAAATTTAAAAGATTAATACTGTAAATTCAATTGAGATGTGATAAAAAGTTGTTAAGACTGAAAAACTCGACTATCAATCGTGCAGTAAAGTTACAGAATACAACCATAATAGAGGGGAGACCGGGGCAAAACGACGTAACGCTGCCAGCTGCCACGTTTCTCTTTCAAAACGCTAGACGCCATTACGCCAGTCGCCAGTTGTCCGGACTAACACACTAACACAGTTCACGTCAACAGTATAAACTCAGTTCAATGGATTACTTCCTTACAAATACTGCCTTGGTTTCAGCACCATTGAGTACTCGGAGTACGCCTGGGGCTGCCCCGGTCAGAAATGACAAGGGCGAAATGTCGATAAAAAAAGTCCAAGTTCGTCCATACGTATCTGGTAAACGACCCGACTATGCTCGATGCAGCTTCAACGAAGAGTCTGACGAAGATTACTTTTTGGACAAACATCATGCCGTGGAAAAGGATCAAGATATTTTGGATCTTGAATTCGACAAAGTCCACACAAAAGAAATGACTCAACATGAAAATGGAAATCGTCCAATTGAACAGCCATGCGACGATCAAGATGAAAGGAAAAATGGTACATTTGACAAGTCCCTGCAAAAATTGATCATAAAGCAAGGTAACTACTCGAACGACCACGACTTCAAAAAGCCCCAGAAAAGAGCTGTTCGTGGTACCAAGTATCGACAGTTAAGGTTTAAATTAAGGTGGCCTGCAGAGCTGTATAAGCCTTATAATCCTTATAAAGGAGCGAAAAAGCAACTTCTTCCAAAAAAGAAATTATCACCAGCATCAGCGACACCAAGTAGTGCAAAGAGCTGCACAACTTTACAAACAATTGTCAATGGTAGAGACAGTGATGATAATAATAATCAAGCTCAAATACCAAACGAAACCCTAGAAAAAAGTAACGTTCAAACTGCAAATTATGATCCGAAGTCTTTCTTTCTTCATGGCTTCGGACTGCAAATGAAGAATGCAAAAGAGTCATTAAAAGAAGAAATAAAAAAAGAAGAAGAGTCAGATGAGAGCTCTGAATATGAAGAATATACTGATTCTGAAAAAGAAACTGCATGCATGCCCAAGCTTGTATTTTTAAGTAAAAGAGACAGGATTACAGTTATGGAAGAAGAAAAGGAGGCAATAGAACAAAGACAAATGGAAATTGAAAGAAAAAAATTGGCTGATGAGAGGAAAACAAACATTGCACACGATTGAAAGTCTCTATTAAAGAAGAAACACAAATGAGGTCCAACACTTATGAAGCTGAAGTTATTCTAAATGATGTTAACACAGATGATATGAGAATGATGAACAAGCCTATGAAGCTTGGAAGCTTCGTTAATTGAAACGCAAACAAAAAACCATTGAAGAACAATAAGAAAGAGAAGAAGTAGAGAGATTAAAAACTATGACGGAAGAAGATGACGCGTAGAAAATAAGTTGAAACCCAAAGTTATTACGAACAAAACTACTAAAGGAAAATACAAGTTCATGCAAAAATATAATCATCGTAGGGCTTTTCATCTGGACAAGGATGAAACTGTATTAAAAGGTGATACTTCGGGGCAACCTTAGAAGATCACTTTGATAAAGGTAAAAAACTTTGGTCACAATGGTAGAACAAAATATACACATTTAGTCGATCAAGATACCACACAATTTGATTCACCATGGATGGCTGAAACCACTACGAACCTGAATTTTTGTAAAAAGGCAGCTGGTATTAACAAGTTTTTGAAAATCCGTTTTTGAAAAAACAAAAAAGGTATTAGTCAATATGTTTGCATTCATGTATAAATATTGTATATAGATTAAGATTAAAAATAGTCCTATTAAATATAGTGTTGATAATCATATGTTAATTAAAATATAAAAATGAATAAATATTTTCAATAGATGAGAAAATTCTGTGTCTATAATTTTTTTAGTTTCAACATCATCAACATAAATACCTCATCTTTTATTTGCAATCATTCCAAAATTTGCTGAATGAATTCTTTGGATTTTCTATTGTGATTGATTCATTGCTTAGTCATAGAATAATTCTAAATTATTATAACAAAAGCGTAGCTTATGTTCCTAATGAATCTGAAGAATTGATGTATGCTTATAGTAATCGAGCATATTTACTGATGCACATCATTAAATATAATGAGGCGATAGATAGTTCAAAAAAAGCCTTATAATTGACAAATTCAAGCAAGATGAAGTTGAAACTATATTGCCAAAAAGTCAAATGTCTTGCTGCTCTTGGATCTTCAACAAAAGATGATACCATCAAGACATCAAAGTTATCTATTAAAGTTACAACCTTCATACCACTAATTATGAAGAAAACCGAGTCTGAAGTAGCAACCATGAAGCGATATGAACCTAATAATCAAAAGTTCTTACAGGAGAAAAAAGCAGATTAAGATAATTGTCAAAAAAGAAAAAGTTGATCCATTTGATTTTGTTGAAATAAAATCAACGAAATATATGGGCAGAGGTCTATATGCTAAAACTGATCTGAAACCAGGTGATAGTATAGATATAGTAAGAGTAGAAAAACCTTGTTTAATTCAGTCAGACTTTGCGAATGGATATGTAATCTGCTCTCAATGTTTAGCAATTACATGGACTGGAATTCCATGTGAAACATGTCATGATTATATATTTTGTTTTTTAAAATATAAAAACATAGAATGGTATAACTTCGAATGCTCAATTAACACTATACCTTATTTTACGTCACTAGGAAATTCTTAAATTGACTCACTTGAATCTTAAATTTATGATTTCATTGGTGAAAGAAAATAAGTCAATTGATGAGCTTAAATAAAAACTAAAAATTTCCCAAAATAATGTAGGTAAATATAACAATCAATAAATTTTTTGAATGAATTTAATTATCTAATTTTCATTGTATCTTAAACAGTTAAAATAGTGAATAATAAACCTGAACAAAAACTGAATTTTTCAAGAAATTAATGAGTTTGTCTGATGAATTAATGGATAGTTTTTGTTCTGTGTTAACCAGCTATACTGTTTAAACACTGATATTTCTGCTTAAATATTCATTGTTTTTTCATGAAAAATTGACAGATATGCAATATAATGATTACTCCAAGAATGAAGATTTTATTTTTTTTAGCATTAGATAACATATGAATTTGCAGAGATTATAAGTGAAGAAGAGAGTTGATAACATCTCAATCATACTAAATCTAGATCAATAGGCCTGGGATTTATCAGTTGTATGATTAATAACAGTTGTACACTAATTATAAGAAGTTGTTTTTCATATTATAAGAAATGTGTTTTTTATGCCATGGAACCTATTACGAGTGGAACCCAGGTACTTATTAATAATCAATATTTTTATTAATATTTATTAAATTGGCTCCATAAAACATCATTAAATTGTTTTTAGTTATTCGATGAAAATAAATCCTGCTTTTATAATTGTCCATTGATGCGTAGAAAAGGACTACATAAATATTTTATATGCCAATGCATTGCTTGTAAGAAAAATTGGCCTTCTTTTTAAATACCTGGTGTAGATGAAGCATTTATGTCTCGCAAACAGAAATTTGAGCCAACAACTCATTTTATGGGAGTAAGGTTTTTAAAGAGAAGCACTCCATTAGTAGAAAGATTGACTCATGACGAATATTATTTTGATGAAGATTTAATACAAGCTATGACTGATATGATGAATGAGATAGTTTATGTGCTACCTTAACCTAATTTGGCTAGAAGTGTGTTATATTGTATTCTTGATACATTTAGATATAAATATGGTCTTTTTGTGCCATTTGAAGAATCATGTTGCATATAACAGGATAGTAGTCTCATAAATTGTAAATATTGTTATTATCTATTGCTGATCAGCTTTCAAAAAAAACTAATTCATTTGAATAATTCTCCAACTTAGGTTGGTTATTTAAGAGTTGAATTAATAAAATTTAATACAAAACAAAAATGAATTCAATACACTGACACATATTGCATTTTCATAAATTCGTTAATATTCATTTCACATACCCATTTCCGATATTTCATTATCATCAATAAATAGCAATTTTAATGTTTATTTGTTGATGTAAACAGTTGAGACTAAAATGATTGAATATTATATTAGATTAATTATATATTTACTGATATGCTAAGTATATTATCCCTATCATTAAATGTAAGATCTTAATTCACTAAATAATTTTAAAACTCGTAAAATTGAATGAGTGTTGTTTACTGGTGGTTTGGGTGTTGTGGCAAACAAATTTACAATTAAAGGACTTGATATTTTTATAGCGTGAGAGAATTTTGAATTTAGCAGAAACATAGTTTTGTGTTTTTCTGGTGTGTTGTTTTTATTAAAAATTGAACCGAAGAGGTGGGCCGAGCTATCTCAAAATTTTCATGCGTAGCTCCTCAATAAAACTGATGTCAATACATTAGAAAAGCGTCCTGAACTTATCATGAAATTAAGATTCAGTATCGTCGTATCTAGTATGAAAATCTTCATCTACTGCAGTAAAGTTTGAACAGTTTATTGTGCCGCAGCGGCTTGATTTTCAGATTAAATTGACGAATCACCAAAAAAATACCGAAAGAGTCAGTTAGTCGATGTTTGTATTCGTCAGCATTGCCAACGGAAACATCGCAAAAGTACATCCACAAACCACCACTTCTAAGCGGGAAGTGGCGCTTGTATTTGCGAGCTGCGAATGTTGCGAGCCGTGAACGTACAAAAGAATTACTTCTTTTTTCTGGGAAAATCTGCCGTGAGCGGGTCCACGCATGTTTATACCTTTGATCCTAACGATCATTGCTCGACCAGTCGTAGTAAGTGTTGGACATCCTATCGTTCTACTTGGCATTTGTTTTGATCCATCTTCCTCAAGTACGTGCATAGGCTACTTTTCATCGCTTTTGACAAGGTAAAATAATATTCAATAATTTTTGAGTTGTTAATAAGTTTTTTCGGTCATTTATAAATTTATATTGACTTAGCAATATGGACGCTGAACGTAAAGCCATAGTTGATCATTTGTCTCGAGGTGATACCAAAGATTTTGCGTTGAGTTCGGACAAAGAGTATCAAATAAAAAGTGCAAAAGAATCTATTGAAGCCAGAAAAAAAGGAAATGACATATATATAAAAAAAAAGCATACAGACTACGACCATAGAATGATTCTGAATTATTATAACAAAAGTATAGCTTATGCTCCTAATGAATCTGAAGAATTGATGTATGCTTATAGTAATCGAGCATATTTACTGATGCACATCAATAAATATAATGAGGCGATAGATAGTTTAGAAAAAGCCCTACAATTGACAAATTCAACCAAGATGAAATTGAAACTATATTGCCAAAAAGTCAAATGTCTTGCTGCTCTTGGATCTTCAACAAAAGATGATGTATTGAAAGAGATTGATGAAATATTCCATACATCAAAGATATCCGTAGAGGATGCAACTTTTGTACCAATTATTATTGAGAAAACAAAGTCTGAAGTAGCATCAATTAAGCGCTATGAACCTAAAAATCCAAAGTTATTACAAGAAAAAGAAGAGCGTAATAAAATTATTAATGACAAAGAAAAAGTTCCATTTGAATTTGTTGAAATAAAACCAACAGAAAATATAGGCAGAGGTCTATATGCCAAAACTGATTTTAAAACAGGTGATATAGTATTAGTAGAAAAACCTTGTTTAACTCAGCCAGATTTTGCAAATGGACATGTATTATGCTGTCATTGTTTAGCAGTTGCATGGACTGGAATTCCATGTGAAACATGTCATGAATATATATTTTGTTCACTAAAATGTAAAAGCATGGCTTGGGATGAGTATCATCACACTGAATGCTCAATAACACCATATATTATTCAACGTAACTCAGAAATTCTTAAATGGACTCACATGAGCCTTAAATTTATCATTTCATTAGTGACAGAAAATAAATCAATTGATGAGCTTAAATCAAAACTAAAAATTTCCAAAAATAATAAAGGTAAATATAACTTTTAATATTATTCACATATTTTGAATCAATTTAATCTACCTAGTTTCCTTTGTATTTTTTACAGTTGAAATAGTGATTGATAAACCTGGACAAAAATCGGAATTATTCAATAAATTGATGAGGTTGTCTTATAAGTTACCAGATAATAAATATGTAGGTGGTTGGGGTGATATACATTCAAATTGTGCTGCATCCACCTATACTGTTGAAACATTGATACTTTTGCTTAAGTACTCATCGTTCTTTTCTGGAAATTTGAGAACTATGCAGTACAATAAGTATTCCAAGAATGAAAATTTTATTTTTATTGGATCCTTACTCTTGAGATTGGTGAAAATCAATGCCATTAATGGTCATAATGTAAGAAAAAAGTTATTCAAGTTAAATTTTTTTAATATACCATAAAATTCAACCTAGATTTACATTTTTTTTTATTTTTCTTATCATTAGATTTCAGATACTACACCTAGCGCCCAAAGAAATTACTATGCTAAAGGTAGAGGACTGTGCACTGGACTTATCAGTAGTATGATCAATCACAGTTGTTCACCGAACATTAGAAAATGTTTTTCAGATGAAATGAAGTTTGTTTATTATGCAGTAGAACCAATTACTAGTGGAACACAGGTACTTATTAACATTTAATATTGTTAAAAATATTTTTCAAATTATATAATAACATACTATTATATTGTTGTACAGCTTTTAGATTCATACGATGCCTGCTTTTATGAGACTCCTAAAAGTATGCGTAGAATGCAAATATATACAACTTTTGATTGCCATTGTATTGCCTGTGAGGGAAAATGGCCTCCTTATTTGGTACATGGTATGTCTGAATTTATTACTGCTCATCTACAGGAAAATGATCCAAAATTTTGGTCGCTAGAAAAGAGTTATTTGGACAAAATCAAACCATTAAAAGCCAAAATGTCTGATCGAGCATTCTATTTGCGTAAAGATTCAATACAAACTGTGACTAATTTGATGAATGAAATAATAATACCTCAGCCTAGCATAGCTAGATCTAACTTACTTCACGTTGTTAATCATGCTCTTCAGACCTATTATGGTCTTACTGAGCCCTTTGAAAATTGTTAAATGAGCTTTAGTTATTTCATAGAAGACAATGGTTTTATAAATTAAAAACTTTTGCATAATCTTTTGTTAGATAGCTTTGAAAAAGCCAATACATTTAAATAGTTCTTGAACCTATTATTGAATAAGTTGTTTCAATAAGTTTGAATGTAAAACATACACATTTATGTATAATACTTAAAAACCTTTACGTTCTTAATTATACTAGTGTAATTAAGCAATTTTTCGCTGACATGCATATTTCAATCTATGATGTTTTTATAAAAAAATCATACTTTTGTGCACAATAAAAAGCAACTAGAAATGATAAAATTAACATGTCTAATTCTCAATTATTATTTCCCAACTTTCAACTTATTTTGTAGATGATTGTAAAAGATAATTCTAAAACTTGCATCGTATGTGTGGAATAAAATGAACAGTAATCACGCCTGGAGTAAACTCGAGAAGGATGCATTGGTTTAAAATTCAAGTCAGAATGTTATAATCTTTTAGTAAATAACACAGAACAACAATAATGTATCAAACTTTCATGTTGGAGATTACGTGTAGGCTATTTCAACTATTCCATAAAGCTTAATATGAAGAATGATATCAACGACTTTTTAAGTCATTCAGCTAGCCTACTGTAAATACGAACTATAATCAATGTCATAATTTAAACCCACGTTTAAATGATTTGTTTAATGCTCCCTTTTTCCAGTTCTTTTTTGTCTCCGGCCCTTACTTAAAAATTGACTCTTGCATTATTGTTGTTCGAAGTTTCAGTTTTCCACGCGCAAAGCACTTCTTAACATGCACACATAAGAATTTTATACCTTTCCTATGTGTGCGATGGGTCAGGTATAGAGTTTTTTTCTTACTTAGCAGCTTGACGAAAAGATCAATTCCGATCGCGTGGTTAATGCGTTTTTTCATAATAATCGCTGCCAATACTACGAATCAATCCTGTCTAATCAATCCTCTATTTGTGTTGAAAAATTCATCGAGTGAGGCATCATTTTATATATGTTCGTTACATGGAAATTTCATTGTACATTGGTACGAACAGTTCAGCTATTAATTAAAAAAAATAATTAAGAAACCGCTCATAATTCATTGTCAAAAAACTTCATCCTAAATATATATGCTTCTTATTTTCATTCATATATTTTAATCAAAACCAGTGATCCGTTCTTTCGTAACAACGTTTTAAACCTGACAACTGGCGAGAATAAAGTGCAGCTGGGTTCACGCGTAGTTTTTTTACTTTATTTTTTTTCGAAAAGTTACCGCTTTTTATCATCACATTTTCAATCTTTTCGATTTTATATCTTGATCGAAAAGAAATGACTTTCAAAATGTTGTGGCTTTACTGTGCGGATGAATCACTCGAAGCGATACAATCTCAGGCTGTGGAGGCGCGGGAATTTTTTAATGGTGTTTTTCGACGTCCGCAGCCAATTTCGACATTTCCGTATACCCACCAAAAACCCTATTGGCTTTATTTTTCCTTCTTCTTTTTGACTGGGTAAATTAATGTGTATTGTTGACCGAAAGTGAAATAAGTGTTTTTTTGACTTCATTTTGAATCATGCACTTACCTTATGGCAAAGAATTGATTATTGCATGTGATCGATCGATACTTTACTCGTACAAGAATGTAAGTTTTATGTGTAAATTTTCAATTGAAGTATAAAATATGTGTATAGCTATTTTTTGTAATTTCAAGTTTGAATTTATTTTATCTAAATAACGATAAGTTTTTTGATCACTACGTTAGAGATTTGATTCCTGCGTTTGAAGAATCATCGTCAAGTACGACATTGAAGTTTTGATCATCTGTAATAACAATGAAAAAAAGGTGCTGTGTTACAAAATTTACATCTTACTGTTAGAAAAATATAATTAGTATTTTACTATACCCCTGCATAAGTAACGAAGTTCAAAGTGAACACATTGCCGGCCGTCAGGTAAGAAGGCTTGGCGCATCTCATGAACATCAGTGTAAACAATTTTTTCGTGCTTTCGGGATACTCGTACCATCTCGTATTTGTTCTAAGAATTATTTGAAGGCCAATTGAAGGCGGATTAATGTGGAGGGCCCCCGCGAAATGAAAAATATTAGATCACAGCAGGGCTGGATTACTGAAAGTGCCACCGACGCCGCTCCATGGCGTAGGGGCGGCAAGGCAGGGGGTGGCAAAATTTTGAAAGAAAATTTATCTTAATATTGTAGGTAATTGATGCGACTTCATTTGTGTAATTTTTAAATATTTTAAAATACAAACCTAAGCAACCGAAATCAATTAGCGATTCAACGATATGATCGATTCAGTGTAGGTATAGATTTATCGATACCGATATCGATAACACCGAATTAAAAAATGTTCAGGATTAACTTACAAATATGACATTACTGCAAGGCTACTGTCCATGATATTTTGAGAGCACCAGCAAATGAAGAACAAGCGAAATATCATCGAAATAAATATGAATCCGAATTTGATCAATTCTTCAATTGCCTTGGCGCGAATCATCGCCTGCAGTACGTCGGGAAGAATCATTTATGATTGATTCGTGTTTATTTTTAATTAACTATAGAATTCATGCCTACTTGAGCTCCAACGACGCTAATCATAATTACAGTTGGGAACAATTGAAATAAAAACATGACACTCATAGTTGCTTCCAAGAGTTGAGTAAATCTGTGTAAAAAGGATTCAGTTTCGTGAGGAGTATATAATTATAATTGGATTCGATGTTTGGAAGTGAACAATTAAAAATTTTTATTGCAACCTGAGACAGTCCCGATGGTAAAAAACGATTTCTTTGACCCTTCTCGTAGCGTAAGAGCTGCTGCAGCGCTTCTCAAAAATGTCTTCGTCCATCTTGCGAATTCTGTACCTGCAATTTCCACCTTCAACATGAAAGTGCATTCGAAACAGCGGCAGAGGAAAAAACTTACCCCAAAAGCATGAACATGCCGCACGAGTGCTGAGTTATCGTCATGAAAAACGTGTCGCAGGTGACGATGACGAAGACGACGAGGAAGCCGGCCTGGGCCCCGTGAACGTAGATCAGCGTGTAATACTCGTCCGGGTCGAGGACGAGATACTCGACCTCGAGGAGATTTTTCTCGGGTCTCGACCAGTTGCCGCTGACGAACCAGTCGACGGCCGGCGGTATCAGCGGCGAAACCGTGTGTATCATGATGTTGTAGAACACCATCAGGGCGTAAATGACGTTCAAGAGTCTCGAGACGGCCGCGCGCTCGCTGAATATTCGCAGCTCGTGCTCGTCCTGCAAATCTTCCCAGTTCGCGTGGATGTGCTCGAGGATCTTTTTCAGCTATAGGAGTGAAAAGGGTATTTTCAGAAAGGATCTATGGAAAAAATTGACATTTAATACCGAGTCGTTGTTGTGCCAGGCATTGAACGCCATGGTGAATGCAGCGTAGGTAATTGTCAGCGCCATGAAACATTCAATTACTTTCGTCAAATCCTTGATTATTTGAATTAGATATATTACCTGGGCACAAGTGTGTAAATTAAAAATCATCATGAGTCATTAAGTTATTATAGAAATGCTTGGTTATTATGGTAGGTACTTCTGGGACGACGACTGTGACGATGCAAAACCATACGAAACTCCAAATCATTTGCCGTTTTTTGGTCTCTTGAAAGGGCCACCATCCCGACATTCGAAAAGTAAATTTATTCAACGAGAAAAAAGGTTGATCGTAAAATTCCTCGATTGATTCGAATTTTCCTGACATTTTTAAACAATTTTAACGCTTATCTTCATAAAACTTGACGTGTCATTTTTTATTCCTTGCAGCTCTGACAGATTTGCGAGTTCAATTATTTCTCATTGCACGCAGAACAAAAGAACGAGTCAATTGGTATACTTATCGATGATAATTCCATTTTTTTTTTTCACATTAAAGTTGATCAATGCGTCTTTACAGTATGATTTTTTTTTCTTACGATAAAGTTAATTGCTTTGTCAATAGATAATTTTCGAGACTATAGTACAAATATAGGAGTTAGTTTACATGATGCGTTTGTATTTATCGTTAATATTCAATAGGGAATCGAGGTACCAATGAATACGATCGACAATAAGTTTGACAAGTTTATTGCGTAACATAATTATCTAACAGCGACAAAAATATATCACATGAAATTGCTGCTTGAATAAATATATATCTATCTTAATTTTTGTACTCTTAAATAACACTTATAAATTTTCATGTTTTTTTCGAGGATTTTTTTCAAAAACGATTTAAATTCTACAAGTTGGGGTAGATGCTAAAGATTAGTTTTTGGACCCAGTATCGTATTTTCATGATATTTTACACCTTGAATACCTAAAACAGCGTCTGTAATGAAGTTTGAAAGGCTTTGGAAAATACTAAAGGGATATTACGACGAATGTGCCTTTTTTATCCTTGTAAAGCATGGGTATGACATCAGATGCAAGATGTAAAACCCGTTTGTGATTTTTTGTAAATAAAACTGAAATGAAATTAAAAGTACCGCATATGTACTACCTTATGTAACAAAGCATAAGCGTTGGCAAAGTATGAGTCGGCATCATGTTTCGGCATCAAGTACGGAGATAGATCACCTACTTGTCGATCCTACTCGAGCAATTTTTCGACGACTTTGGAATATTCTTACTTTCAGGCTACATGAGAATGTGTGAGGCTGGAACTTATATATAGTTCAAAAATCTCATCGACGATGTTGCTGTAATCCCATCTAATCGCACAATGTACTAATGTGGTGCTATGCAACAATGACTTGCCATATTCACCAACTTTGTAACCAGTGCAAGCCATAAATTTCGCTTATAATTTAAGAATTTTTTTCACAAAAATCTTTTACTGCGACCGATGCGATCTTCCTTGGCTTAGTTACTGTGCAGCATTTTTATGAACTTTGTAAGATATCTTAGAAGTAAGACTGATTTAAGTTTTCATTGTCGATAAAGAAGAAATTTTGTAGATTTACATAAAAAGTGCATCGAAGATCATCATTTTGATCTTTAAATATTAGAAAAAAATTCTCACAAAATTACTGAAGTTCAAATTAATTTTAGCTAATCACGTATGAATTGCACAAGCTGTGGAAAAATCGTGAATATAAACGCGTTCAACTCTACCTTGAAACTTGAATAATATACTATTAAATGTCCACAATGAATATTTTATCTATTTTTATATATATCGTTGACCCATGAAGTTACAGAAACCTGTAAAGTCAAAGGAAAAACTTCTTCCGCCGGCTCAGAATTAATTATTTGAAGCATTTTTAATCCGATTCTTGCCTAGGTTTCGCAGAATCGCGATATGGTAAAAATTAATCATTATCGCTTAAAAATTATATTTTAAAAATACGTACTGCATAACATAATTATAGTAGAAATTAACAATTGTTCTCATGAAAAGAATTGTCTGATTCAGGTTCCGATTAAAAGTTTACATAGGGTCTAAGGTAGTGCAAGCATGGGGGGCTAATGCGAGCTTTTCTGGATGATGGATTTTATATAGTCGGGAAAAGAGCATGCGCAGTGCGGAATCGATACTCACACATACATAATAGACTGCCTCAGTCTCCGTGTTTCGAGCAGAGGGTGCGCTACAAGATTGTTAAGGCCTAACGTGCGGTAAATAAAATTCAAAAGAAAAGGAAGAAGTAATCGACGGCCGGAGCGGCTCGAGTCTATCTCGAAGAAACGCCGAAGCAATTCCACGAGCTTTTTCGTCACCTTGCCCGTGTTGAATTTAGTCAAAGAACAGCAAGGAAAAGAAAAACACAAAGCAGAGGCACACACGGATGCAGACACAAGCCGAGGAAGAAGTAGCGGCGGCAACGGTCTGCATGCGATTTCCTTCATAATGGGAAAATTACCGGAGCCACTTGCCAATAATCGTTGAATCATTCAAGTATTTGCTCTCAAGTTTGCACATAATTCGATTAGCCGCACAAGTAGACAAATAGCCGCCTCGCACTGCACATACTCTTGAGATTAATGATCAATGCCCGAATTGAGTCGCGCGAGCTGGCCGGAAAGTTCGGAAGAGCTGTATATAGGTATGTATGTAGCGCATGCGGGGGGGCTTTGAATGTGTTGGCGCAAGCACGCACACACTCAAGTAAGTAATGCGCACGTAAGAGCTTTAGCGCATGGATATAACGGAGAGCTCGATTTACCTGCGCCGGATCATAAAGCGATGGTAAATAGATAAACGTATTTAATACGTAAATATACGGCAGGGCTTTTTAGCAGCATGTAAACGAGTAGATCTATTTATCATTCTCTCTCTCTCTCTCTCTCTCTCTCTCTCTCTATCTATCTATAATAACTCATAGCTCGGCGAAGAGCAGTATTTAACAAAACGTAAAGTCCGAAGTATAATCTATTTTCATCGGTCGCGCCGTATAACGGAGCCATCCTCGATGCACGCGCTTTAAATTATTTGTCGTGTGTATGCGTGCGCGCATTATATGATCGCATCGATGTGCATCTCCCTCGCACGCAGCTAACGCCTTTGAACTTGGCGGCTGCAGACTATAACGGACGACGACGACGACGACGACGACGGACTGATCACACGAGTGCGCTCGCGCTCGATGGCGCGCACGCACATATATACCGAGAGAAGTATAGCAGCTCGATAGGGCTGCACGCGCAGATCGGACCCCGGTACTTTTCCATTCACCCTAAATACCAGACTATACGGTCAACGCGCGCCGTCGTGCCGCCGCCGCCGCAGCAGCAGCATATGCGAGACTGCGTTATATATGCGTATAGATATATATCTGTATATGCACTCGCAGTCGCGCATTCGGAAATAGAATCATTCGCTCGCGCGTGGGTCTGTGTCTCTGTCACACGCAGAAAGAGAGAGAGAGAGTCAGTATTATACGACTTAAAACGTGTCTGTATTCGTCTATAGCTTTCGCTTCGGTACTATAATATATGCATGTACCCATATACATATACGAGAGCTTGCAGCGCAACTCACGCAAGAGTACATCGAGTGACGTTTATAATAGGGCAAAAGAGAGAAAGAGCGAGTGAGAGAAGCTGGTAAAATTCATGCTCGCAAGACTCTTTCGCGATCGTCGCGTGACGCGCGCACACGAGCTGCAGCCGCGGCAATTATGTACTTTTTGTTGTTGCAATAATTTCTGCGGCCGGATTTAATGGATTTCTATTGCTTATCGTGCTCGCGCGCGCGCGATATATTCCAAGTTGTATTGTATCGAGGATCTAAACGGGAGCGCGGGTCGATGTAGCAGATAGAGAGAAGAGGGCCGATGCACCGCGCTGCATATGCATTATTAAACAAGGTATACGTATATGACCGTTATGGACGTACGGACGTACTGTGCGTGTTTAAGTCATTGTGGTTATAATACTACTGCTGCGTTAATGGTCTTGCGAAACGAAAGGAAAAACCCCGGGAAGGAACTTGACCCATGCGCTAATATAGGGCAGCTGCGGACGATCCGTGTCTCGACTTTGAAGTTTGATGTAATGTATCTATTGTACGCGTGTACGAGTGTGCTTGATTCGAGTATGAATTGCGCGATGATGAGCTTTTTTGCGTGTCGACTCGAGACGAGCGCGCAAAGTTTGGAAAGCGATACGGGAAAATGAGATTACTTTTTATCGACGCGATCAATGAGCAAAAAAGCCGACTCGCTAACGGTCGCGCGGAATGGAAAGTCCGATAAATCGTGAGCGAGCTCGAGATCGTTCGGGGCGTTGAAAGCTCGATCAGCAGCTCTTATTATAACGCGCGTATAATGGCGTTGCTTTAATCGCTTCATGGTCGCTCTCTCGCAGGCAAACTTTATTTTTTGTTTTGCCTTAATGCGCGGCAGCGTATACACCGTCTACATACGACGAGCCCTAGGCTGGTTTGCGCCGGTATACACGTACGCGATAAACGTGCGTGTATAGCGATTTCGAGAGCAGCAGCAGCTGCTGCAGCGGTGAGCGGTGAGCTTATATGCAGCCTGCGAGTTCAATAAGTGCACCAGCAGCGAGCATCGCTCAGTCCGCCGTGCGACACTCGAGGCGGCATCGTCGTCGACTCTTTTCCTCCTCACATTAGGCGCAGACGAGAGGCGGCCGGGATCTCTCGAACATCTCGCCGAGCTTTTTCGCCGCTCACTTTCTGACTGCTCGCGCTTTCTTCTTTTTTTTTCTTTTGACCGTCACGATTAGAGATTGGTTTATTGCGATTTTCATCATCGATCGTTTTTCATTATCGCGGCTGTGAAGTGCCATCTTCTAAAAAAAGTGATCGTCTGCGTGTTCCACGTATTTTCATAGAAAATTTACATCATCCACCCGAAAAAATTACGTATATTTTCCAAGACTACAGATGCCAATTTTTTAATTGAAATACATTTACTTAAGGTGAGTGTTCGTTTAGTTTAGCTTTTTAGCAATATACTAACTTTCTATGGAATGTATTATCAATTGTTCTTATCGAAGCATTCCTAAGCTTGTTGTATTTGTCACTAATCCCCCTGTAAAGAGTCAATTAATCTCTCGTTGATATATTGATATATTGCATCGATGCTTACCGATTTATATCGCAATCGATTCTGCTACTTGAAGAGACTACCGAGCTGTAGTTAAGATCGTTTGCTTTATTCGAAAAAAATTCTCGTTTACGTTTAATGCCAGGTAAAACAATCGTAATGAAAGTCAATGTTTGACAACATTTTGGGGAAACGTAATAATTCGCGATAACGGTTTTTTTTTTTAAATACTGTCGATGGGGGAAATTTTCCGGTTTCATTCACATTTTTCAATCCTCGAGGACGACGACTGCGACGACGACAAACGACGCTATCGGAAACGCTTTGTGAAACGATCATCGTTCAATTGTCAACGATTTTAGAATAGCTACATACTACTTTTCACTCGATCTAACGTGTTTTCGTTTTAAAAATAGATCGTCAATTCGTCTTAGCAACAGAAAAATTGTCTTGGTTGATACACGACTGCAAAAAAACATTGCAAAAAAACAATACGTTTAAGAAGGATTCCTGCGAGTGAAATCAGACACGATTCATACGTAATATACTTCGAACGTGCGCGTGTACGTTTACTGCACTGTGGCTGGACCAACGACGGTGTAGCATTCGTAAACATCGATCGAGACATTTTCCGCGCAAGTTCGCATTAATTGAAAATTATGTAATTGAGCAAGAGTGCCGTAGATTGGTACAATGAACTTTTGATTGAATTTTAAATGAGAAAAAAATTACGAATGTAACTTCTCCCAACTACGAACAATACAGATTTAATATCCACAGAAAAGAAGGTATCTAAAAATACACGGAAGAACGCGAGAACGGTGTATAGGAAATGCACCCGGAAACTGAACTGCGCGACGTGTGTCCCGTGATGCGCGCGCGAGGATGATAACGAAAATGACTTTTTTATTCTACTTCGCGACGTTAATAACTGGTACACTGTCTAAATGTAGAATTGATTTTTTGCTAAAGTCAATCGAGATCAGCTGGAGCTCCCTAGGTATCGTTCGGAAACGCGATACGTCCTATGGGGAGTAGGTATCTGTGTCGCAATTCAACGTGCACATTCATTGAATTAACAATGATCAAGGGAATTCGGAGTTAAGCAGATACCTAAGTATAGAAGAGCGTAATAAAATTTTTCAAACGTGTTATTTCAAAAAATATTCAATGGAAAATCCGGAAAACGCGTATGAAAGTTTTCATTTTAACCTTGGGTTTAGTATCTCCTCGATCACGGTCTAAGTAATAAGTGTTTGTGTCGCGCGGAGCGCAGATAGTGTATCGATAAAAATTGAATTAAAAAATTTGAAAAAAAGTCAATCAAGCTCACCTCCACTCGATGCAATTCTTTTCAAGCTTTGCCATATTATATACTTTTATATTTTCACTTCGTGTCGTTGCAGCAGAGAGAATTTACTCGTTCGAAAATGCAACGCTACACAAAAGATCGAATTTTCTGTCGACCTTGAAAATCGGTGTTATAAAATACCTCCAGTTTATGCTGAAGAGCTATTGAGTCGCGTAAGAATGCCAGCTTTCTGTTAGGTGTTAATTAAATTTGATACTGTTATCTTATTCATTAAAAAAAAGAGATATATTCCTGCACACGATAAAACTAATCTGTAGAAAAATATTATGTTTCGACGCATCGCACGTTCATGGCGCTGAGCCTCTCTCACACTCTCAGCGATGAGATAAAATTCCGCAAAGATCGAATGCATGCGGCAAATTTTTTTTCACAAAGAGATTCGTCGCGAGTGGGGAAGAGGCACAAACGATAAATTTTCCAAAACTGAATGAGAGGCTCGCGCGTCGCAGTCAATGAGCATAATATAGATGTATAATCGAACGTACAATAGCAATGGAAAAAGTCCAGTGAACAAGTCGTCGCGAGGATTTACGATTGACCAATAAAAATCCAATTTAACAAGTGTGTACACGTTCAAGTGAAATGTATGCGCCTTACAAATTGATCTTAATCGCTGCATTAAGGTCAAACGTTTTGTCAAATGGAAAAGGCTCCGAACGCATGGAATCCTTTGAAAGATGAGATCCGTCGGCAAAAAAAATCATGATGCACGCGAACGTGTATAAAAAAAAACACAAGAAGAAGAAAAAAAAACAATCGTTAAGAAGTGTCTCGACACGGTTGTTCTTCAATTATTATTAATTCGAGTCTGAATGTGTTATGTGGCGCTTGATGCCAGGAATTTTTAATTCGCGACATTGGCCAAATTCAATTAATATTGTAAAACCTTAATTTCTTGATGATTTTTTTATTTATTAAGTCTCAAAGGGCTAAGGAAATCGGCTAATATTACCGATGGAATTGGGGCACGTGTAATGGAAGAGATTGTGAGCAAATTGCCCGCATTAACAGGCATGCTTTTGAATGGTACAATCGTATTTTAGTAGCACAAATTTCGTATTACAACATTATGATTTTTATTAATTACTGAAATAACTATTTTGCGAAAAAATTCCAAAGTATTGAGGTTATTGGCACTTCATTACGCTAATAATAGTTGGATGTTCTTGGGAAAAATTGTTAATAATGTAATAATTTTTTTATAACTAATCTTTGTAAATGCTTCAACCAGTTATCAGATTGAACTCGAAGCCAATACCTACTTTCGCGACATGGCGACTAAAAACGGAGAAGCTGTGACGATGCAAGGATTGCAAAATTCCCTCAAGTACGTTTTTCATTATTTTATGTCGACTAAATTTACATTCATTCAATGACCAAGCGAGTTATTAATTAAAAAAATGTAATAATGTTTATTTGCAGGCTGCCCGCCGGTGGAAAAGCGCCCGAGCAGGTGCCAGGCAGTTTGGAGTCGCCCGAGTACGATCCTCATAAGCATCGAAATAGGCCACATCCCACAACGTAAGAAAAAATAAATTGATAAATATTATCAAAGCCTTGTTCATTTCGAAGTAGGAAAATTAAGCAATATCCAGCTTTTTTCAAGACAATGGCAATTAAATTTTGTAACATAATACCTCTTAGTGCGTCTAATGCTCATGTAGCACATATATATAGCTCTCTGTACGCATGTACCGCGCGAGTAAGTAGATAAGTGCGGATAAGTACTTCGTCCGGCAAGCCTAGTGACTTACTGACATTGAATCAATCGTGCCCGCCCGTGTGTAATTATGTTTGCCTGTACGTGTGCGTAGCACACACTTCGTGACACTGATTTTCTTCTCTCGACGTTATCGATGACTGTATAACACGATATTGTCGTATTTCGAAATCTACGAACCATTGTTTTTTTTTTTTGCTGCAGAAATACCGAGACACTGATACATCTGTTGAAGGGTAGCCTGGGCACGGGCATCCTGGCGATGCCCAATGCGTTTTGCAACAGTGGCCTGGTAACGGGCACCGTTGCCACGGTGCTGATCGGCATCTTATGTACGTACTGTCTTCATATACTTGTGAAGGCTCAGTATGAGCTTTGCAAACGTCTAAAAGTTCCTATTCTCAATTACCCGCAGAGCATGAAAGTGGCACTCGAGCAAGGCCCTGCGATTTTCAGGCCGCTAGCCAAGTATGCTCCGTAAGTAAAACGTAAAAAGTTATAAACGCTACTCCCGCTTGTATAATAATGACGAGAGAAACTCAAAATTTTCTTCCACTCGTTATTATTGCTTAATACGATCGATGCTCATCTCGAGGTTTTCTTCATGAAACTATTTGTATCCTCAGGGTTTTCGTCGACAGCTTTTTGATTGTATATCAACTGGGAATATGCTGTGTGTATATTGTATTCGTAGCAACGAACATCAAGCAGGTTCGTAGATCTTAATAATTTCTTTCATCCCAAATTTTAATTTTTTTTTTTTTAATAAATGACTGTCCTTTCTTTTTAGGTAGCTGATTACTACACTACGCCAATAGACATTAAATATCACATGTTGATATTGTTGCTCCCACTGATCTTGATGAATTACGTACGAAATCTCAAGCTGTTGGCTCCGTTTTCAACGCTTGCGAACATAATTACGTTCGTCGGATTGGGAATGATACTGGCCTACGTTTTCGACGATTTACCTTCGATATCCGAGAGGGAATTGTTCGGCTCCGTGAGAAATTTTTCGCTTTACTTTGGAACCACGTTGTTCGCTTTGGAAGCAGTCGGCGTTGTAAGTCGAGTTGCCACCGTCATTCTTGGTTTTCATGATTCATTTTATATAAAAAATATCCCATCTGTCGATAGATAATTGCGCTGGAAAACAACATGAAGACTCCGCAAAATTTTCGAGGCTGGTTTGGCGTGCTTAATATAGGAATGTTTGTGATAGTTCTTCTGTACATCATCGTTGGATTTTTCGGATATATTAAGTACGGTGCGGATGCCGACGGTAGCATCACGTTGAATTTGCCTCAAGGAGATGCGTGAGTTTCAATCATTATAAAATATTTTAGACTGGCTATAACGAGAGTGAAAAATTTAAATTGCTTTTTTATAATAATTTTTTAGAATGGCTCAAGCTATAAAGGTGATGTTCGCCATTGCGATTTTCATTACTTACGCGCTGCAAGCTTACGTACCTGTAGAAATATTGTGGACGACCTATATTGAACATCGTATGAAGAAAAACAAATTACTGTGGGAATACGTTTGTAGAACAGGGGTCACAATTTTAACATGTACGTATTTTCATAATCAATAATCTTTATCCAAATATTTACTAGACTTGAAAAAATAGTGAAAATAATACACAAGACGACATCAATGAATAATATGAATTTGAACAAATTTTATTATTCTCGTTATTCTATGCTATTTTCAATATTACCATAAGTTATAGTTTTCTTTGCTTACTTTCATCAAACAACGTGTGGAAAAGAAACGAATAATAAAACACTTCATTCTCATGCACGCAGTTATCCTGGCTATCGCCGTGCCGCGTCTGGGCCTGTTCATCTCTCTATTCGGCGCCCTGTGCCTGTCCGCCCTCGGCATCGCTTTCCCGGCCATCATCGAGATCTGCGTCCTCTACCCCGACAATTTTGGTCGCTTCAAGCTCGTCCTGCTCAAGGACATCGGCATCATCATTTTCGGCTGTATCGGACTGATCGTCGGCACGTACGTCAGCCTGGTCGACATCGTTCACTCGTTCCAGTGAAGAGGTTTCCAGTGAAGAGGTTTCCAGTGAAGAGGTTTCCACTGTCACTGCCGCTGCTGCTGATGCGACGACTTGTTGGTCGCCGTTGTTGGCCTGTAAGGAAAAAAAGAAAGAAAGAAAATAAATATAAATAAAAATATATTACGAAAGTGCTAAACGCAACAATCGATACGTGGCGAGTAGCCTTAAGGAAGAGCACATTTGTATTGTTCTTTTGTAATAAGCAAATAAAAAAAATCGGGCCGGGCTCCACGAGCAGGGCTGCATAGTTGTATATGTACTGTATTGCGTCAAAAAAAGACGTTACAAATAATATTCAAGAAAGATTATAATCACTCTCATTATTTATTGCGCAAAGTGCGTCAAACGCACCGAGCAACGAAGTAGCAAAAGGCGTTATAACTATTCAATTTTTGTTTTCGAATTTATGTGACGAAGAAAAAATTAGTTTATAAGAATTTTTAAGGCGAGAGGCCTTTATATAGCTGTTAAGTAGTTCGTTTTTCGTATATTATAAATATTATTACTATATATCACACAAACACACACTCTCATGAAAGTAACGACGTGTATACGCAATATTATATAAATTGAAAAATATGCATTTACAAGCTTGTCAATGGATTATATACAGAGAAGAGAACGAGATTTTTTGCGGAATTCATTATTTTTAGAATCGAATGGCCATTTATCCGAGTTATGAAACTATCTGGTAATACGTTCATAACGAATGAAAATGTATATATATTTCAAAAATAAATGGATTTCATATGATTAAACGATGGGACTGTCGTTTATTTGCAATGTTAATATACCTTTGCAAACAACGGAATCGATAATTTCAGGTTGGATCGACATTAACGTTTGTTATTGTAAAATAACTTTGTCAATCAATGCTCAGGTTGTTAAAATATCTCGAACATCAATGATTTTTCAGGATATACTTACATCATTTTCAAGGGATGCCTCCTGTGCATCGGGAGGATTTTCAATTTTACGTCTTTTAATAGCAGCTGCGAGCTGTTTCTGTTCTTCAATTAAAAATTGCTGTCTCGTGCAAAACCTTCCCTTATTTTTTCCCATAATATGACGATAAGGATGCGCACGAGGAATCGACTCCATCTTTCTTATTCAGGTTTATCAAAAAGGTACGAAGGTTTGACGACCGACGACGAGGTGTTGAACAAAGGGATGAATAAAAAAACGTTAGAGCTAAAAGCAGTCGACGCACACGACTTTCGTCTTGATCGCGCGCGCCAAACTGTACCGAGAGGTGCTGCCCTCTCGTTGCGATTGTGTGATATTTCATATTTTTTGGCGTGCAGCTACGGGTATTGTGGAGTTGACCGACTGAGTTATTTTGGTAATTTCTAGACTCGCACCGGTGCCGTTTGCTGTGCATACTTCTGACATACACAAATACAAACAAACGTCAATTTCAGCTGTAAGCTAATAACGTCCGATATAACAGCCACACTCAGTCGTGAAGAACCGATAAGAAAACGAGAAGTACCTCTCTAATACATCTGCACTATCCGTGGTTAAATTGTAAATATTTTGCTTGAGTTCATTTGACACTTGACAGTTTTCAATAAAAGTATAAACGTGTATACTTACTTTTTATTACAGTATTGTTAAATACCAAAGTAATAAACAAATAATTTGCACAATGCCTTTTACTGCTGATAACGCTGCTCATCAAATTCAGGTATTTCTTTAAATATTAACTCAAATCTAGTAATGATTCATTTATAATCATGTTATCATTGATGAATCTTTTAATTATTATTTATAGGAACGATTGAAAAGTATCAATCAATTAGTTCATGAAATTGAGAAAGCTCGACAGCATTCTGAGGTCAATTTGAATAATATTACAAAAACTCAAGAGAAGTTCAATTCGGAAGATAAATTATCTGCATTTCATCAACAAAAATTGAAGAGTGTTTACAGTGCTGCTGTTGCAGATGCTCAACAAGAAGAAAATCTATTGCGCAAAGCTTTAGAAAAAATAAATGAAATAAGACTAATAAGAAATGAAAGAAGAATTCAGGTAAATTTGATTGAGAATCAATATCAATAAGTAATGTACATTTAATTGATAATCGATGATTTACTCTTTATTAATATTGTGTAGGCTAGAAATGCTGGAAATAAGGAAACAATTAGGAGAGGAGCTCTTATGAAAATGTTACTTAGCACAGCACAAACATTGCCTCTATATGTAGGAAAAACCCCTGGAGCCAAAGCTCCTCCTTTGTGTGGGGCAGTACCTGCAGAGCCAACTTATATGGCAAAAGTATGTATCATTTTACAAAAAATCTAAATACAATGGAAGATTATTAATGAAATTGTATTTTTATAGACTGGCGATATGGTTGCTGCATTAGTTAAAGGTTCTGAAGAAGAAGAAAATTGGATTCTTGCTGAAGTAGTTCATGCAAATACAACTACCAATAAATATGAAGTTGATGACATTGATGAGGAGCAAAAAGATAGACATACTTTGTCAAAACGAAGGGTAGTGCCCTTACCACTCATGCGAGCAGATCCAGAAACAGACCCACATGCATTATTTCCTAAAGGATCCATTGGTAAGAGTAACGATATTAATAACATAAAAATAAATGAATATCTCCAATAATCAACATTATTTTTAGTTATGGCTCTGTACCCTCAGACTACATGTTTCTATAAAGCAGTAGTTAATCATCTTCCTACCACTGCCCAAGAAGAGTATGAAGTTTTATTTGAAGATGCAACATATGCTGATGGCTACTCACCTCCATTAAACGTACCACAGAGATACGTTATTTCCATAAAAGAAAGTAAAAAGAATAAAAATCAAGCGTAATGCAAGGTTTTTGTGTATAAATATTGTATAGGCTACCATAGGTATTATTTTAATCAATTGTAAAGCGTGTATATAAATGGATTAAAAAGAATTTTTTAAAAATCAAACTTGAAATTCTTCTACCTTAGACAAGATATAAATATTTGTCAGTCTAGAAAAAAAAATACATTTTAAGAAAGTTTGTTTGGTAATCGGTTTTTAGAGTAAAGGTAAAAAAGATAAGTTTAATATTTTTACTAGATTTATTTACATTCTGATTGATATTTTGTAATACACATTACAAAAATTATTTTACCAGATACTTATTAAACCACGTTTTATCATATGTCTTACTACAACGATCATTCTGATTTTTTACTTCAATTATTTTTTTGTCATACTAATAAATGCAACCGCAGTTAAAACGTAATGTACGTTATAATATACACGTAAACGGTTTTTTCGTATGTTTACAAGTGAATTTTTTCAAAATAATGGACGATTTTGTTTTCAAATGCATTTGGATACGTCTCTATGATATCACAAACAAATTCTTCTTGTAATTCATTTCAAAATCAGTACGCATTTGCTAATTTTGTGAATGTTTCAAATCCTCATACACACTTTTGCATAAATATATATATTTTTAACTTTTATATTATTCTATTAATCTCCTGAAGCAAGCGTGCATTTTAATTTCCACACTAATAGCTACAAAACTGTTAAAAAATGTCTTCGCTACAATATTTAACAAGGATTTCTTGCTGGCGCCTAGCAACATTATAAAATGAAGTCTTTCGGCCTGGAGTATCCATACATATTCTGATCGACTTATGCAAAAACATTTGAAATATTTTGAATGCTCTGAGCTGGAACTATTTTTCTAACAATCACTTCTATACTCAGAAGCAATTAGGATAAAGTTGCATAAAAAATGTTTGTTTTTGTGAAAATCGATCAGCTACAATAATCTCTCAAAAGCCAGACTTCAGATTTTTCAAAAAAAATTGATTGTTGTTTCATTTCTAATACTTCAATAGTGTATAAATTATTGCTTATATTGTTATATAATCAGAGTGGTGAATAACTTTTTTTAGTTTTTATCTTATTTGTCTAAGTAAATCCAATTTTCAATGCGAGGAATTTTTTAGTTTTTATAAAATTAATTGTCACTGTTTTACCCTTATGTTTTTGCATTCTTAAAAATCGAAAAGTAAACCTTGGAATTTGATTTGTGGACGAAAATTTTTAATTATTTTGTTCATGAGAATGCAGTGAGATTCCATAAAATATGGTTTTATCAACAGAACATATTGCGATTCTAATATTTTTTTATCTTTTTTGTTGAATCACTTGAAAACATAATTTTGTATATCATGGGCGACGTATGAAGAACAATTTTAATTAAAATAGGAATTTTTAATATCTTATATTGGTTTTCAGGTTGTTGTCATAATTCTATTTCAAGCACTTTTTATCTTAGTGGTTTAATAGGAAGTTAACAGACTACTTATACATATACAAAACAGTTTAAAGCTATTATTTCATCTTGCAAAATCATTTATAGATTTTTCATCGAATATTTTATAAAGAGACATTCTTATTGTCTGTACAAACAATCTTGGCTGTATAATACAATTAAACTTGGCATGGTCGGAAAAATATTTCAATAGCTTTGAGATTTCAATAATAATCTTTAAAAGCGCAATAATCATATTATGTGATCGTATATAAAAACAATATCTGGAGCCAAGTTTTATTTTCAAAGTTGTCCTTTAATTATTTCCCTTTTATATTCTAACATGATTGAAAAATATATGAAAATATACAACGATTTTTTTAATTAAAATTCTTTAAGATGACATAAAAATTTATAAAAAAATCGATCGTGATGAGTAATATGTGTGTCCAAAAACCTATATTATATGTAAACGAAACATTTATAATTAATTGGCGTATCTAATTTTTTCATTGACAACTTTTCATCGACACAAATAAATCTTAGATAAACTAACAATATTGACAATGTTTTAATTCAATATCTATGTACATTTAAAAATGTCCTTTTATTAAGCAGCTCGTTTCTTCCATTAATTTTTTAATACAAAGCTTATGATTATTTTTTTGAAATTTATTGTTTTTTAATTAGCAACTGATTTTATTGCGTGCATTCATTCATTCTTTATTTAATGGTTGGTGTCGATTTCCTCTTATTGATAATTTATCCAAAAGTTCTTGGCTGAAGACACTTTAATGAATGATCTGTGCTATTTATGCTTCGATTAATTCTTAAACATTACATATGATTGAAGAAGTTTGGTCGAAACATTAATTCTATTATTTTCATTTCCTCTACGGATCAACGTATGAAATCGTCGATGGGGAATGTTGAATTTATTTGTATTATTAATTCGTATATGATTTACAGTGAAAAAATACGGACAAAAATTTGATGGTGAACTGGGTGAGACATGATTTTATTTCATCGCTCGTGGATGGAGATACAAATCGTAGATGGCAGTTTCTCAATTCACACACAACGCGTACATGATTGTTTTTTTGCGAAGCTTAAAGAGGAAGAATCTTGGTTATTTACAAAAATTACAATCGCCCTTTCGGATATATTTTACCACGATATTGATTGTTCATTAAAATTGGCTAATCATTATCAAACATGATTATAAAAACAAAAAGGGCCTCGCGATGACGTATTATTTTTTTTTTAACAGACGCTATAACGATGACTTATGTATTAGAGATTCCGAACGACAACAGTCGCAACGCGTGAGTATTTTATTATTTACATCGGGAATGGAAAACTATATATATTGTTCGCAACAATTCGTAGATATAAGTCAAGTGTCATGTATAAACCACACTCGTACTAATGTTACAATATATTTTTGTCAAAAAACATTCTTTTTCGACGGTTTTTGTTTTGCATTCGTATTAAAAGGTGCATTTCGGTGTCCTCTTTAACACACTAATACGTAATCACGATTTAGTGTGTTAATCGCCGATTTCACATGGCCTCCTGGCTACTCCCGCCGCTGTTGTTGCTGCACGACTGGGAGCTGCGCGACGTCTTGCGGCTGACGGGCTCGAGGTAGGAGGCCGGTGCCCAGCCCTCGAGGCCGGCCCCGACGAGCTTGACGAACCACCAGCCGGCGCAGCCGACCTTGAGCAGCTCGAGGCTGTCGCCTTCGCGCATCGTCACCTCGGACTGGCCCATGGCGCAGTAGTCGGCTAGGGCGATGTATCTGCTGCCCTGCAACACGCGGATCAAAGTGCCATTGCTTAATTTTTAATTCTTCATTTTTTTTTTTTTTTTTTTAATTGAAGTCCACGACGTTGACAATCGTGACGGTTCTTCGAACAAACGCACACACGCTCACACACAGAGCCAAACGTTACATAATTGCATATTGAATATCGAGAACTATATTTGTGCACTGGCGTATAGAGATTTTATAAAAGTGAGCCTCGTTCAACGAAGAGTTTTGTGTGATCGTAACTTTTAGAATAAAATTCAATAAAGCTGCAGACAGTGAGTACGTCAATTTTTTGTAACCCAGTGAACTCTTGTTCTTGTCGTTCATCAAGAGCTTGAACAAGTACGATTTTAAGGGAAAAAAAAATTGACGCAGAGAAATTTTCCATACAGAGCACATCTAGCGAAAAAACATAACGTGTGTTTCATATGAAAACAATTTTATTACAAGACGAGCACATTTTTGGACTATAATAAAACGTCTAGATTTGGTTGATTATATGAGAAGCAAAATTCCAAAAGCGCCACATTTACACACACTGCTGAGAGAGTTTTTATTTTGATACAAAAAGAAACAAAGAAATAGACCAAAACAATAGGACTGAAGTTTCGAGTTTTTCACTCGATCAACAAGTTTGATTACTATTTTTTTTCTTTTTTGAAATGCGATGACCAACATAATAGTTATATAAGTATCCATGAGACGATGAGAATGATTTGCAGTTTTTTTTTTGATGACTGAACTTTTGCTAATAAACATCTACAAATTTCAAGAAATAAACGAAAAACCTTATTATTTGGGCGTCCCATGTTTTCTAAATTCCCGCCGGTGCAGTCTGACTCCGTGGAACTTAAAAATCTATCGTGTGTACGATAATTATTTCTAAAAAAAGTAACAGAAGGATTTTTTTAAAAGGTAAGAGACTGTTCCTTATCTATAAAAAAAAAAATTAGATTAAAAAAAAAATAAATAAAATGTAAACTTCATAGTCATCTGTCCTGTAATAGTAATCGTTTGCAATCAAACAAAAGTGATAATAAATTACTGCGTAAAAGTGGCTTATGCTGCTTGTTGATATCTTTCAGTTAACTCGCATAAGTAGTACAGCACAATCATACTCTCTTTAAATTTTTATTTCTTTTTTGCTGCTTGATCTTGAATCGCAAAATAATATGCCAAATGCAGATAAAAAACTATATATGATTTGCAAACTTATCATAAGTGTTGTAAAATAATTTATGAGCCGTTTGTATCCTACACTTGTATCGTGGTAAAAAAATTGAAGTCAAAATAGTAAATAAAATTATAAAATTCTGATCAAGCTGGGCGGACTTACTGGAGCCGGGCCCGGTACGTCGCCGAACGTGTCTTCGTCGTCGGAATTGCTGTTCTCCGAGCTCCAGCCGACGTCCTCGTTGTCCGTCGACTGCGAGATGTCCGTGAGGTGGGAGTTCATGCTGTTGCTGTCGATCGACAGCGTGCGCAGCGAGCCCGACAGGCTGCTCTGGGCGTCCCACGATATCGTCTGCCTCAACGGTCTGCGTGTGAAATTGAAAAAATAAATTTAATTAATTACAAAATCAACCAGAACCAGGGAGAATAATGTAATAAAAAAGCCTCACAATTCCATGGTGAACTTCTGTCCACCTCTGCCTTGCAGAGCCGTGTTTTGCTTGCCCTTGAGCTCGGCTAGCTGGGACATAAGCACAGCCTTGATCTGCCTGACCCAGGCCTGCTTGACGTCGATGCTCGACGCCTGTATGGTGTGCACCTCGGAGCGGCCCTGCAGCCAGATCTCGAAGCGCCGAGCGTCGCCCTTGACGGACTCGGTCAGGCCGATCTGCGACGTCTTGAGGTAGCGCTTGAAGTGATACGTGGCCTTGGTGTGCGCCTGCGGCTTGCTGTGCTTGCAGAATATCACGCTCTTTTCGTACAGGAAGATGTGTCGCTGCGACGGCTTGAGCCGGGGCAGTCGCTCGCGCTTGCTGCTGCTCCAGACGCTGAACGAGCCCTGGAGCAGGAGGTCGCCCTGCGAGCTCAGATCGCCCTGGAAGAGCAAACAAGAGCGTTAAAATTATTTTTTCTAATTACAAAAGAACGCATCGATCGAGAAAAAGAAACTCACCCCGAAACCGGTGATGGCAGTCTGATGCATGCTGTCGTTGACGCACTTGAGCACGACCAGCATACAGTCCAGGGCCTCTTGGAGCTCGGCGCAGCACGACTGCTCGACGTCGCTGCTGTACTTGAGCAGATCCTTGAGCAGCAGCTGATACTTGGTGATGCGCTGCACGGGCTTGAGCAGGTAGGCCGCCAGCGGCAGCTTGTGGCCGAGCTTTTGCTGGCACGCGGCGAGGAACTGCGGCTCGTGCTGGACCTGCTCCCTGAGCCGCTCCGAGCGCGGTATGTTCTGACAGTAGTAGCTGTACAAGCGGTAAAAGGCGTCCCTGCGCTGTACGAAGCACAGCGCCACCAGCTGCGTGTTCGAGATGCAGTTCTCGAGGTCGACCAGAAACGTCTCGCCGTGAAACAGATAGATGTCCTCGAGATTGCCGAACAGGATGTCCTGCTTGTCGACGAGGGCCTGGGGCACGAGGTGGGCCATCTCCTCGTTGCTCATCTCGAGCTTGTAGCCCTGGACGATGGAGCCGAGCTCGGCCACGTAGATGCGCTCCGTGTCGACGAGTTCGGCCAGGACGTGGCCGCGCTTCAGTCGCAGAGCCTCGAGATCGCGAGGCTCGCTCTCGGGCGAGGATATCTCACCGGGAACGGCCCCGTCCATCGCGCCCGATCCATCCATTCTGGGCAGAGTGTTGGCCTTCTTCAATACTCGTCCCGTCCTGGTGCAGAGCACCGGAGCCGGCGGCAGGGGTTTGGCCGGCTCCGGCGTCACCGGCTGCACCGGTCGCGTGACCGGCTTGAGCAGCTGCTGCTTCAGGGCGTTGATGCGCTTGTCGCACATCATCGACACGTCCTCGATGCGCTGCAGCACCTGCGTCACCAGTGCCTTGGTCTCGGGCATGATCGAGTCCTGAAAGTGAAAATCCTCGGCTGCCTCGATCAGCGACTGCAGCTCCTGGAGGGCACGATCCGCGGGGGTGGAGGCGTTCTGCGCGGCGAGCAGCTCGACGCCCCGTGTGCACCAGGCGTTGGCCTTGTCGATGTGCTCCATGAGCTCGCGACACTTGGCCAGGGTGTGCAGTCGGCGCTCTAGGCGCTGCCCGAGAATGGTGCAAACGCGCTGAAGCTCGACGCACTTGGGCTCGACGACCTCCGCGGGACACTGATGCCGATCGCTGAGCAGCTGCTGGCCGGCGCTTATCACCTCTTCGGCTCTGTCCAAGTCTCCCTGTAAAGTTAGGGTTTTCGTTCAATCTATTTGTAATCCTTTGAGGATGGAGGAAATCGAAACTGTCTCATGCAGATAATAATAGTACAGTTCGAATTCGATGGGCAATTAAATCTCGAGGCAATATTGTAATGTTATATATATTCTGGAGCTACGAAGTAATGAAAGATCAGGGCTATATATAATATTGTATAATATACGGCAAATGACAACTTGTCAAAATTTCAACAGCTATTACGTATCGTAGCTACACGAAAAATACGTAAAAGAAAACTTTTAGAATTATGGTAGATTCGGAAAACTTTTCAGGCGTCGCGAGCGTGCGCCCCTTCTCGAAAGAATTGGTAAAAGAATTAACCAAGAGAGATATACGTTTCATTCGAAAACTAAACTCTTACAGAAATGATTCAGACTTCAAAGTCTCTTCAGTCTCTCGAGCTTTTGGAACGAAGGAAAAAAAAATTAATTAAACTCGTTGGCAAAACGTAAAACTTCACTCGTCATACTTTTTTTACGTGCAACGCGAAGTATTTCTCTCAGCGATTTCGCGTTTAAAGAGATGTACGTACATACGAATACGTACACGAGATATAAAACGCATATAATACACACGAGCTGCGAGAGCTTTCAAAGGTGGCGCTATGCCGTGTACAAAAAAGTTTATACGACGATGATGATTATGACGAGTGTGTAAATCGCTTTGCGCGCGCGCTCTGACACAGTTATGCAGCAGCAGCAGCTCCGGGGGCTTTTCATTATGTTTATACAGTAATGCAGGCATGCACATATCACCATCTTCGGAAGATCGCGTGCAAATATTACATTTATGACAGTTAAAATAAAAAAAAATGAAAATAACGAACTCTTTTTCGGTAAATAATCGAAGCGTTGAGTTTAATTAAAAACGAGTCTCTTTTTAATTGGATAAAGGCGATTACCGCGGCGCGCGGCTTTTGCATAAAACTCAAATCGAGAATCGAGCTTGAGGTATTACAGTGCCGTAATCCAAATAAAATATACATTCAATGCTAAGGTATAGAAGAAGATTATCATTTGTTTTTTTTTTTTTTAATTAATCGATCAGCAGGCATACTAATATCTATATAGATAATAGCATAGACATTATACTACTTAATAATGAAAGAAATTATCGTCAGGCGTTTTCAATAAGAAGCACATATCATATATTTCTGAAGTGAAAAAATAATATGTATATAATCAGCATGAAAAGAGAATAATATAAACATCATTGTCCATGTAATAATGATAATCATAAAAAGGCAAATGTATAATATTTAACGCTATGATTATAATAATGACGAATTATATATAATATAGATATATGAGAACTTGTGAGGTGGATCGCTTACCAAGACCAAAATCCACATGGTATGCAACAAATATGACTATATTGACAAAAAATGAAAAAGGAAGCGGTGCAATAGTGATAATAAATATGATATAATAAAAGTTTCGTTATTTTCTTTTGTGTTTTCTCTTTTTATTTCAAAGCGTAAATTTGTGCACAAGCCGCGTGATTTATTAATTAATGATAATAATTGATGTATGAAAAACCAATTCAGAGAGTGCGTCAATCAAGTGCAAAATGGCAAACGATTGTATAATACGATATAATAATATAATAATAATATATATGCGTCCGTGAACGTCGATCGTGATGCAGGCGATGAATTGATTTTGAGAATATTACGAGATCAGTGCATACACACGAATAAACAAATACATTACGAGCAGTTATTGAATCGAATGAAGTGAATAATTCAGCGCAGATCGGATTCGTGTTCAGTGATCCGCGCGTAATGATGGCGTCGATCGGTGAGAGGAAATGAGATAAAAAATACATTAAAAAAAAAAAAAAAAGCTGACGAGACGCGTCGAGCGCATGAAGCAGATGTAGAATCGAAATTAGCCGTATCGTATCGAATCCTCGCGCAAATATTTTACAAACTCGAGGCCAATATATATTAGGGTTTGTAAAACGAGTCTTACCCTGCAGACACGCTGAAAGGCCGTCGTGTCGCGTATCAGCTGATCGACTCGGGCCCTCGTCTCGCCGACCTCGTTCATGTCGTCCAACGTCTTCAGGTGCTGATCGAGGCTGGCCTGCAGCTCTCGGAAGTCCTGCTCGAACTGACGCAGCGCCAGGCAGTGCCTCAGTCGCGAGCTGTGATGCGACCAGAACAGATCGAACGTCTGCTCGGTCTCCTCGAGCTGGACCAGTAGCCTATACACACAAGTACAATACAAAATGTCACAATTAACGTTGAAAATTTTTATTTATTTATTTTTTTTAATTTTCAGATGTGTACCTCTCCACGGCGGCGACGTTACCGAGTCGATCGGCCGTGCCCTTGCCGGTGAGCTGGCGCACACTGTCGAGCAGGCTCTCGCCGTGCCTGGCCGCGCTCATGATCTCCTCCTTGAGCTCGTTGTACTCGGCTTGCTGCTGGCTGAGCAGACTCGTCGTCGCCAGGGCATTGTTCGGGAACTCGATCTCGGCCAGTCGGCGCGTGAACGAGTCCAGTGCCAGCGACACGTCCTGCGTCATCGACGAGAACTTCTCGAGATTCTGGATGGATAGGAAAAAAAGACGCAACGATTTAGTTTTATTTTTATCCTACTCTTTATCGACGCCTTTTTACCGGTCGAAGAAATATATCGATATATAAAATTTAAAATATTATAGTATATATAGTGTGTGCTATTACGTTTAAAACTCGCTCCAGCGTATCCATCGAATATTCTATTTTTAGGTAACAATTTTCTCGCTCTCTAATTGCGACCCGTGAAATACTCGTACTGCAATGTATTTTTGTCAAGGTTAGTTTAGTTTCATTATTATCATCATCGTTATTGTCATCGTCATGTCACACTGAATCATGAATTTAAAGTATTAATAATATGTTATGAGATTGGCTGGTATTAATTCATTATATGTATTATTTATATACACATGTAAGCAGGTTCACAATTGGAATTTGAGAGAATTGTCAACGTAAAATGTGGACTGAATAAAATATAAAATTTAGCGTTGAAGAAAAAAAAAATGAAAAAAACAAGGAAAGTCATCGCGTCGCATTGCATACGCATCGAATCTGGATTAAAGAATATATAATAGTTGTTCATGCGTCGGTTAGGATACACACTGAAGTAAATACGTGTTTTGTTCAAACCATGAGCGATCCGGGGTTCGAGCAACATTCGCAAAAACGCAAATTAATGAAAGGTTAACTCATTATAAAACAGTTTTGTAGATTACAATGAAATAAATCGAGCTAATTTTCAGAGAAAAGAAAAATAAATTATGTATCAAACAGAGCTTCTGGAATTTGTTAATCAAGCAATGTGTGCGAGTGGAACGTGTGTATGTGCGTGTAATGTAATGTTTGTTTGTTTGTTTTCGATTAAAGGGTTAATAGTAAGTTTCGGTTAATCGACATTACGATTCGATTCTGAATCCAAGTGTGATGGCAGTAGGGCAGATGACCGCCGAGCTGATCGGTCAGCTGGTCCTTGTCAATGAACTCGTGCAGCTCGCACACGCTCGTCAGAACGATCACGCGGAACTTGAAGTCCTCGCGGAACAGCTTGTTCGACACCTCGGAGATGGCCTTCTGCAAGAAGCCCACGGGCCGCAGCACGTAGGCGACGTGCACGAGGCCGGGAAAAAAAGCCTGGAGACGAATAAAAATTTGGTCGATTTAATGCCCTCGTGGGTATTGAACTTTATTTTGTAACTGCGCACACTTACAGAAATTTTCAATAGTATAGTTTTTACTGAATTCCATTTATCGTTCCTTCGGTCGATCACCAAGTGGAATCCCAAGTCGGCTTCGTGTAACCTGTGCAACAAAAATAACAGAAAAAGATTGTCTTATTTATTTTTATCGAGATTTTTTTTTACTTTACTCCTGAAATTTAAAGTAATAAATATCGAGCGAGTTTTTTTTTATTTGCTATTTATTGTAGCTTAAACATTTGATGTGACTCTACACACAAAAAAGTATCCTCGATTGTATCTCTTTCGATATATGTATTTTTTATTTTATTGTTCAAAGCATTAGACTTGCGTAAAAATAGCGAAACTATATGAAAAATGCTACTCCTAGGATTTGCTAAGATTATGTACTGTTCTTGACCTTTGATGACTCTTTAATGAAAATGATTTGTAACAAATCTCCCATTCAGAGGATTTGTCCCGATCATCAACTGCGTTTATGTTGTTTTTTGAGAAAACCGAGAATACTTTTTATGTACTTTAGAGTGTGCGAATAATTTTATAATTTTTTCAATGAACATTTCCATTCTCAAATGTATAAAAAAAGTATGATTAGGATTGATTTTCTTACGTTGGAACAGAAGTTAGATAGAGCATAAGACGCTGATAATCCAAGTCGCTGAGATTGTGAAAATTGCCATTGTCCGGAAATGTTATGATGGGACAACCTTCCCGAGTTTTTCCACCTGAAAGCACAAAACAAGTTTTATGAATCTTTGGTGTCTACGAAAATTCCTACGGACTACGAGTATCATTAACAATAGCGATGGGCTCGCCGGCCAATTTTTGCCAGTTTCAGTGAAGTTCGCTCACGTTTATCTATCGAATATCATCGTACATCCAGTCGACTCTAATGTCTTTCATATACGAACGTATCTCTGGAGTCGTAGTCGTCGTCGCCACCGCCGCGGTTAGTTCCGTACACGCGAACGGGTTCATTGTCAAAACTTCTCGGAAAGCGTGGCGCACACACACAGAGCGTTAACGGTGCTGCCTGTCTCGACGTGCGGAATTGTGCATACAAGTACGCACGGCGCATACACAATAATTTGCTCACGAGAGCGCCTAACTGCCATTATATTATCTGTGCAGTTTCGGAGTCTCGGGAGCCAACGAATGAACTACGCTAATACTGCTACATTTGCTTCGAGATGCTCGTACGTATCCACACACAAGTACGTAGTTAGTAAGCCCCGAGTGAATGTATCGCCGCAATCTCGGATGAGCGATTTTCGATCGCCTAAACGACTGTAAGTACCACAAACTAGTGATTCTGTGCGTGTTATGTACAGCGGAAGTTAGGAGTTATATATTGTAAGTCGCTGCCCTACTGCACTGCTACCGAGCGCGCGCGAATTGGCCAATATATATGCAGCAGTACGCAGAGCGCGGAAAACGACATATGCTCGATGAAGCAAAGCCGCCCCTGCTATATCCTGTACAGCATTGGTAAATCGTTATGGATGAGCCAAGTACTAGTACTATACGTCTTCTCGCATAATTTGCATTTATAGTTCACACCGCGGTCATCTATATAACAATAACCGAACGAAATGTATGTATGAAATGTATCTACACGAGCTCGCGTAGAGAGATCGGAGAGGCTAAAAGAGAAAAGCATGAGAGAGAGAGAGACGGAGAAAGAAGCATCGTGACTCGCACCCACACGCCAACAACAGAGCTCGCGAGCTTTTGCCCTGTTACTTTAATGATCCTACTCGGCGCGAGAGCAGCGCTAGCTTTAATGCTCGATCCCGCGAGCATATATAAACGTAATATAAGTAAGCAAGTGTAGTACGTAATGCGTGTATGCTCTCATCGTACGATACATGTGCAGTGCACTATAGGAGCATCGAGCACACATGTACGTATAGTAAGCGTGTTCGTGTACCTATGTGCCTCCGGCGTGTACGCTCGCCGTGTCATTATGTACGATTTCTCACGGGGCGAGAAAAAATTCAATGCACATAGCGGTGGTGGTATTACCTTCACCTTCTCCTCCCCCACCTTCTCTCCCTTACCCACTCCTCCTCCTCCTCATCCTCTTCTGCAAATGCACTGTACACACGTGCGCGCAGACCCGTAGGTATTTTCTGCGGAGTAACGTATTACCGACAACAATGCCATTGATCGTACACACACACACACGGCACAACACAGCAGTGTGTATAAGGCTTCCTTCCCGCTGAGCGGGAGGAAAAATTTCTCATTAACCTCGGCGATATAAAAGGTTCACGTGAAAATACACGCGTGTATATATGTGTATACATGCGTGCCCGTGCGTACGCGCGTACTCGCGAGCGCGTTTAATTATTATCGCACCTAGAGTCCTCTCTTTTCTTGTTTCTTTTTCCGATTAATTGGCTCTAATTGCGACGCGAGCAGCTCTCGCTGGGACGTATTATGTATATAATGCGCGTGTCCCGAAGCGCGTACAGAGTAGCTATTACAATAGCGGTATTTATTGCATTATAATGCAGACGAGCTACGAGCATTCGAAAGTCGAAAAAGTAGCGAAAATCCAAACTTTTTGCCAATTGCGGTATTCGAATTTTTCTACTTATCCTATCCTATGAGCGTGGTGAGGTTTTCAGAGTGAGCAATTTATAATTATTTTATAAATGACAATTGTTTAGTTGGCGCGCAAATACGAGTGTTGTAGTAAGTTGAGAAAGTAGAATATTAACCTATTGACGGCTTAAGACTAATTTTGATGTTTACAGATTATAACATAATCTTCGTTCATTAAATTTTTCTATTTTAAATATTGAAAAATGGCAAAATGGGATTAGAAAGAAGAGAGCGTGAGCTAAAAGTCAGGCTAGTTTTTCTTAAATTCGTTTGATGCGCGCTAAAACTTTTATCCTTGGATACTTAAAAACTAATGAATAACTTTGGGAAATATACCGATGATGAAATACTACACGAGGCCTATCATTTGAGGTGGCTTTAGGGCTTTTATGAAAATTATAGAGCTATTGGAAACTCACATAAATTGAAGTTAAACTGTAGCCCCTTCGATTGGTGCAATATTCAACGTGGCTTATCGATAAAATTTTCGAGAAAAATCCGATTGAAAGTTGATAGTTTAATAAGTATAACATTATCGTAGACGGCACAACATCTTAGAGCTTTAAGTTTTAAAAACATTTTAGATTTTGTATTTGTAGCCTAAGGTCGTTAGTTTATGAGTTGAAAAATCGTAAAAGAAATATTTTTGAGCCTCGCGCGCCATAGCCTATTCGTCTAGTTCTTCTATAAATCAACGCATTGAATGCGTGGAGGCGCTGTGGAGTCGTATAAGCTTGCGTTCGCCTCGAGTCTACTTCACTGTTCAGCCGCATTAGTTTTCTTAGTTATCCGGGAACCACCACGTGATTTTTAAGCGCCGACTACTTTGAAATCATCAATAGCTTTCGCCACATGTTTTTATAGATCTTGGTGTACACATAATCAGTACTCGCGACGAAGTGCAGCGTGAAAAAGCAAGGAAGATCACATCTAGTGCAACGCGTGATTATCGTGAAAAAATTATAAATTATTGTCAATCATAAACAATTGTTTTCGTGTGTCAAGTGCGCAGAATGATTCTCGACGGTGATATTGATGCGAGTTTGATGGATGTCGATCTCGTAGAGCAATACGAAAATTATTTTAACAATTTCCAATTAAAAACATGGAAAATGTTAAGTAAGAAAATAAATTGGGGGATTCAAAAAGAGCGACACGAATTGCTCTGCCGCATTGACCCTTATATCAGGCTTTGGAGGGGTCAACTCCCTGATTTTGGATACATTTTTCAAAAAAAAGAAATGGAGTGTCTTCTCTGCGATTGCATATACCACATGAGCAAAAACCCGCATGATGATCGAGGACAACGATTCATCGAGTTTGTAGCTCGCACCGGCTACAAAGTCTCACCCGTACTCGGTGAATGCTGCGAGCCTCTGCCGCGCCGCACCACGCCAATCCATCATCTGGCTAGATGCTGGTTCTCCAACATGGATAAAGTCGTCAGAGATCTTTTTAAAATTTACAACGGCTTCAGCGTGAACGTCACTGACGAGTTTGGACGCACTCATTTCCACGTGGCGTGCCAGACAGGTTACGACAGAATCGTGAAGGAATACCTTTCACTCGGTTACGATCCGAATCGCTGTGTGCAAGGCAACTCGCCGCTGCACTTAGCTGTGCTCGGGAAGCAGATCGGTGTGGTCGAATTGCTACTGAGAATAGGCGCCGATCCCAATGAGCCCACTAACAAGGTGGGCGTCAACGTACAAGACTACTTGGGTAACACACCGTTGCATCTGGCGTTACATCTCGTGCGTTTGGGTGACAAAAAGGCGGCTGAATTGCTGCTGAGAAACGGCGCCGACTCAAATATATCCAACCAAGAAGGACTGACTCCTCTACATATTATTTGCCAGAGAGAAGACGACGATGATCTAGTTGATACCTTCTTCGACATTAGCAAAGATACAAATCAGACGGTGCAGGTCAACGCGAATGACAAGTCAGGCCGGACATCGTTGCAATTAGCTGTGGCGCATCTTTTGCCTCACGTGGTAGATGTGCTCTTGAATCACGGAGCTGATCTGTCTAGCTTCGTTTTTCCTACCGAAAGCGACTTCGCCGATTGCTATAAATGCTGGCGCGATGAAGATGCTTTTAAATTAAAACTATCCTCTGGTATGTTGGCAATCATCGAACGTTTGGAGAAAAAAGGCTATAAAATAGGCCACAGCGACGCTCTGACGATTATGAAATTGTTCACTGATCACGCGGTGTTCGAGAAATCGACAGATCTTGACGAATATTGGTACGAGGACTTAGAGTTTGCTAGAGCAGCGAAAAAACACATGTTGAACAAGAAATTATCGCTGTATAACTTAATGGAGCTACAACCAGAAGATGCGGAAAATAAACTAGCATACGAGGACTACTTTGAGTTCGCGTGCGCGAATGAATATTGGTTCATCCCTGAAACATACCGTAAGGCTTGCATTGCACATCTGTGCGAAATTCTATCGAAAGACTATTGCCGGCGATGGAAGCTGCAATCTCCACCAGGCGACTGCCGATTCACTGCCGTGAAATAATCATTGAGAAAGATGAAGAAGATAAAGAACGAGCATTTGTAGCGTATTATAAGAAAAGCATAATTGCTGTATTTTTTAATGTCTGATGTCATTATGTGTTGTTCATTTTTCATTCAAATAAACAAATTTAAAAAAAAAAAAATTAATTTTTCGTTAAAATTACATTATAACAAACGGAAAAATTGAAACTTCGTCGCTATTTTTTAGTCTTACAGGTTATAAATTATTATTATTGAGATACTTGTTCAAAAAATATTCGGTGGAAATTTAGTATTGAAATTATAGTACTCGAGTATTTCTTTTTCTCTCTCTCTCTATTACTCATCCTTTGAGAAGATCTGCGCAGGAGAGTTTACGACCCCTCTCCCCACTGTCTCGCATTTGCCCAGGCCCGAGGATCCGTGGGGCAAGAGAAACCTGGGGGGTACGTAGTGCATATGCACTACATCCGACTATTTGAAAACGTTTATTTTGGCCTGGATTCGTTTGAGGTTATGCCGGCAGCTATTATTTTACCGTCCGAGTCCTGGAGATATGCACCCACCGAGCAAGATACTCGAACCTCGAAAATTTGCGATCTATTAGTCGCTTCCTTCACGTTTATAAACAACCGCGCATGACTACAGTTTCACGACGTGCATTGCACACTAAAGGAAGCGACTAATCGATCGCAAATTTCGAGGTCCGTGTACACTAGACCCAATCTAATTATGTCCGCTGGAACTCCGGAATTCCTATACTTATACACGTTCCACTACTCTGTGGACCGGACAGAATTAGATTGGGTCTAGTGTTTATTTTAATAACATAATTTTTTTTTGAAAAATGGGTCTAGAGAAAAAGTTATTTAAATTTTAATTTCCAGTGCTCGATTAAAAGCGAGGCTGCATATCGACTTTATTAGATTTCATAAACTATTTTCGTTGCAGACGAAGAAAATTTATTTACATTACAAAAATTTTTCCTCGACTCAAATTATTTAATTAATAAAGAAATTAGTTAAAAAAAAATTAGTTGAAAAGAAATAAAAAATTATTCAAAAATTTATTGGAAAATCGATCAAATACAGCAAAAAAAATTTTTTTGATACTTTTTATTGGATAAAACACTTTTATTTTTTAGGCTGGGAAAAAGACTCGTGTACTTATGTACATTATTTTTCTTATACTCGATGGCATGCGGGGTGAACGTCCGCGACCGGCATGTAAGCTTTCACTATGTGTGTATAGACTGGCATTTGATCGGAGCATCGAATTTCAATCCGTTCTTCTCGCTCGCGGAAGCCGGAAAATTTTCGGATAATGACACTGGGTTTTCTATGCCGAGCTACGGTGTATTGTTGAAAGATCATGGCTAAGAGTTCACGGCGACTATGAAAAAAAAATGAAAACAAATGCGTTACAATGATACGCGACGAGTATCGTATGTATTTTTTTATACACGGAGAAACGGATAATTGTAAAAGCCATTGCCAGCCAGGCCACGATTGATGAAAACGAGATTTCCGCGAGCAACATGCATTATTACGGGTATGTGTAAGAAAAACAGCTTGACGCGAAATGCACCATTACTCGGAGAGTATAAGGCCAAGTGTAAAGGTAATATTATTGTGCATCGAGTGCAACAAAAACGTTTATACATCTAAGCGCGCTTGAGGGCCTCGCAAAAAATCTCATCAATCGTCGAGGCTATAGCGTGTCGGCAAGGGGTTTTTCTTTCTACATTGTAAACTATAAATATAAGAGAGTCCATTGCGTCTGTACGAGCTCGAAATACCTACATATTCATCGTGGTTGCGGCATATTACGTATTAATATCCATCGAAGATGTCAATAATATTGCGTTATGCCGTTCGGAAGTGTCTCGCGCACATACAGTTGAAGCTACGCGTTGACGGAAGCCAAAAAACGATTTGCTCCGCGGCGATCGACGATTTATACGCGATGAACAACATTACCACCTGAACCTTTCCTTCCTTTTATTTTTCAACGACAAGCCGCGCGTAATGTCAAAACGCGTTTATACGATTTGCAGCACGCGCGCACATGCACGTGGACAACCGGTTTTTTAACAGCGAACCTTGTGATCAGAGGCCGGTATATATACAGGAGGAATCGCGGCAATGCATAAAATAAGCTACTGCACTTATTCGGTGCTCTCGTTTTTTGAAGGCTTACCGTTCATTTTTATGAACATGCCTACCAATCGGCTCGAGAGCAATGCATTTTGTGTGTGTGTTAAGTGCTATATCGCTCATGTAACGTAAAAAGCGAACACACATAACGTGAAATATTTTCATTCCCAGCTCTCTTTTGTTGTTGGTATTTTTTTGCGATTATTTCATATATTGTACGGTACTTTGAGTCATGCTTCAATGCCACGAACTGCGTTACTGCGTATACACGTGCGAGCGAGAGCTCCTGCACTGTGATCAATTTGAGAACGTTGGTGTCGCACGTGAGTGAAAAGTTTAGAAAATACATTTTATTATTTTCAAAATTTAAACTTCTTTTTCATTATGAGTTGTTGAAAATTGATGGTAAATTTCTAATTGTCGCAATTTTCTATGCCTCATACTTTAAAGTAAATGTATTTCTCTAGATTTTATCTGATAATCATTTCAGAGAAAAACTAGAAATTTATTTTATGGTGAAGAGATTTTGCTTTTTGAATCATGTTTTTAAACTTTGAAAAGGTCAACAGTAGTTCCCATAAAAAAATTACATTTCAAAGAACTTTTTTATAATAATTCTTCATTGATGTATCTCTGCTCAAAATAAAAAATGCTAAATATCAAAGATGCTTCAAAAATGAAATATTTATATGATAACTTAACGTTAAACACTGTACTTTATTCTTTAGAAATACAATGGAGATGAAAGTTACTGTTAATAATCTCATTAACGGGTGCGAAAAAGAATAAATAAAGAAAAGAAAATTGGAACAAATGTCTTAGTATCAATAAAAACATTTGAATGCAGCAAAAATTTGCTTGCTCAATTGGATGAAGATGAAAAATTTGTGTAAGTTTATATAGGTAGACTTTTCAAGCTCGCGATCGGCGAACCAGCAGCACTCGCAGCTGGAGCAATGTCTTTTTCGATATATATATAACTCGAGTACAGAGGCGGGAGATTACAGCAACTAGTTAGAATATATAGCTCTCGGGTTGAATTCAATTTTCTCGGGCTAGTCATTTGCTTTGTATAATGGAAGAGTATGTAGATAGCGACTGAGTACAGCCCCTCGCCGTTCGGTCAATTTCAAGATGATCGTCTGTGCGCGCGGGTCTATGAGTCTGCAATCTTATTCTTCACAAACGAGGTAAGAATTTGCTCGGTCTGATATTACTCTTGCTGCATTCGATAGAAAGCGTATGCACGTCAATAATTCGTGCGCAAGCAAATCGATTGTCTGCCGATTCTTCGGGTTTCAAGGTTGTGCGCGGGCTCCGATGTACATTTATTTATTCATTTTTTAACCTCTAACGGATAGATTTTTTAATTTGAATATTTTGACTCGTTTATTGCCGATGGAACATGTGGACTTTCATCAACTTTTTTTGCTATTTCGTTTTATCATTATCCGTGCAGTTTTTTTGAACGACGTAACAGCTATTTTAGCTACTCGAAGCTCCGTTTCAAGGTCACGTTCTTGTAAATCAAAACAAAAAGTTAATCAAACTCTGGCCATACACGAACGTGTTAATTTGATATAAACGTCACTAGATTGAATGAAGCGCGCAATGAACGAGACACGAGCGCATTTTAACCACGCTGCATTTTATTTTAAATCTATATAAACGACCGAGTACAGCTACATGTGTAAGCTCGTTACTGAGCTTTTCAATCGAATGTTAATCACTTAATTTTACGAGTGTAAATTTCCACTATACGTACGAGTATGCAAAAAATTCATTGAAAAACATTTACGAGCCATTATTATTATCGTAGCAATGTAAAACTCACCAGCAATTATGGCGTACTGAGGCTGGAGGAGATCAGCAACGTCTCGGACGGCCAGATCGCCGTTTTCTATCTCACCAGTCATACTCTCGGCATCGTCTGCAAAGTACCAAGAAAAAAAGAACCAAAATTAGATCGAAGTGTAAATGAAGAAAGATACATATAATAGCTGATGTTTATATATAGCGTAGCATTATAGTATATTACATGTACATCTTAGCGTCTCGCTGCCGTATAATCAAATTAATATAGAAATACAGGCCACACACACGTACATACGTGTCTCGTGACATTATCAAGCCCCTAATTCTTCCAACCAAGACGACGGCCTAAATATAAGTCATCTTCGAGCTTAGAATATTATATGCAAGAGAGGCTCCTTACCACCGAGCTTCGTTGGGTCTATATTGTATACATCATAGCATACGTCGGTACATTGCTGTAATGGAATTATCTATATGCATATATCGTATTTCTGTACTCTTTTTCATATGCATGTATGTGGGTGCTCGCGCCTAATGGTCGTTGCCTAGTCATGGCGCAGTTCTGACTTCGGTGTCAACGACACGTTTATGCCTCGCGCACGCACATACGTATGTAATAACGCGCAATGTGATTAGTGACAGCTAACAGCTCCCATTGCCCACGAGCGATCTGCGAGCGAGCAGCGAACTATACTGCCGTCGCTCGCGTGCATATCTTAGATAGCGCATCATTTAAGCATTATGTATTGGTGAAGGATTAACGTTAATTTACGCTTAGTCACTTTATTCAAAGTGTGTAAGCGAGCATCGGTGCAGGTGTCGTGGAGTCTCGTTCAACAATTTGCAGCCAATTCGATGCCGCACGCGAAATAACCGTTGCAACACTGTACGCAGCTACAGCCTAATACATTTATAACGCGTGATAAATGTAGCAAAAAAGCACGTGTGCGACCCGCGACGTTTGAACGCAGGAAGCGAATCTCTGTCGTTAATAACGCACTGGAATATATAGTAGACGCGCGTGAGAGTAAGAGAGAGAAAGAAAGATTGACCCCGAGAGAGCGACGTGGTACGCACACGAGCATATTTTGCCTCCGATCGAGGTCATGATGCGTACTTCATTTCGTTTTTTTTTTACTTCTTCTGCGTTAAATACATGCCGTGTACGTAGTTTATTACAGACTCGTGGTTTGCGCAGAGATTTAACTCGACTTTGACCAAGACGTAGCTGCTTCGGGGATTATAACAGTCAAAACAGTATGTATAATCGTGGCGTGATAATTCATCGCCGATTCACTGCTGCTTTTTCTCCTCTTTTTCTTCTTCTTCTTCTTCTTCTTCGCTTCTTCTTCTTCTTCTACTGATTAAAACGTTACGAGTATTTTTAAAAATAATCGCTGTCGTAATGCGAGAAAAAATATATAAATTTCATCCGTTCTATTGCGAAAAAAATCACAGAAGAAGTAGCATCATTTGTCACGTACTATTTACCATTTATATATTACGTACAGTTGCACTCCAAGAATACCGCATCGACGGCTTTTAACGATCCCATTCAATCGTGCATCTCTTACTCTGTTATTGTTATTTTCGCGCGCGAACAATCGTTTAATTGTTTGCGCAATCGATCGCCACTCGGCACACTGACACATTTTCACTTTTTTTTTTACTATTATTTTTCTATTCTAATGTGAATATTTAATACCATTGCATTACGGTTCATTTCAAATGTATGAAAGAAAAAGAGATTTTCCGTATGAATAATTATCATAATTATCAATTATAATATAATTGTGCGCTGCTTCGCGCGCGCGTGGTATGTAACGGTCGTAAATTATACTTAAAAAAGCAGCGCTTGAAACGTGAAATTGAATTGTATAATGTATACATAAACAGCTCGTCGCCCAGCTGAAATGCACTGACCTCGAGAGGCTCATCTCTTCGTGTTTCGTGCTGAAAAACATAATTCATCGAGGAATGTATAATTGCACAAAAGTTCCTCACTGACGAACCGTGATCGAAGCTTATGGTTCCACTTTTTCACGGTCAGCGCAACACGATGAACAAGTCAAGACAAAAGCACCCAATAAAAGCTGTTGCTGTGTCATGTGCTTTAGCGCGCCAGTACGTGTGTATATCAGATTTGAGATACGTTTAAAATTCACTTCTTTTTAGTTATGTGCACCAACACCATCGACAAAAGCGAAAATAATTATCGCAATGCATGTATAACTTCACTAAAAACACACTCACACACACACACACACATACACACATATGCCCTAACAAGATATCCACGTCTCGAACCACAATTATAATACCATATTCACTGTAACGCTCTGACACGCACGCTGCGCAGAGTTCATCCGAACTTCGCAAACTCGTAAAGTCAACTGTGATCGCGCGCGCGGCGGCTTCCACTACCGCGTGCATTCACGTCGCCATTTATGTGTATAACTATATATATATACATATAGCGACACTCCACATAGTATAGCGAGGCTTACGATGGCGCGGGGGCCGACCTTGCGTCTTTACTTCGTGCTCCACGATACATTTAATATAAATTTAGCTGCTACATTGATGTATAATATACATATTGGCCAGCATGTTAATATAGTTATTTACTCCGTCAATCGTGCCGGCATGGACGACGCTCGTGTCTTTTTCCGCACACTCGTGCCCCAAAACGCATTTTGGGCACTTGTTACATACAAAATTTTATGCAATAGTAAGCGAAAAATACTTTCATTTAAATGAGGCATTTTACCGCACACAAGAGTCCAAAATAAAGCATTTTACACTGAGAAAAAAATTTCATTGAAACAATCACGAAGTGATATAGGTAATCTTACACGAAATTCTAGAAATCTTTAAGTTTTTTAGGATTTTCGTATGCATTAAAGAAAACGGGATTTTGCTAAGGAATGTAAAAATCTATAATACGTGTATGCGTTCTGCGCTACAAGGGTGCTGCCCTCTCTCTTTGTAAATCTCTCTCATTAGTTCTCTCATATACAGTGCACCTACTCAGATCTCGATCGACCGTTGTCGCGAGTGCGTCTTCGCCTGTACACTTATATTAATAAACCTATTTATGTTAATTTATAAGTACAACGTGTCTTTTATTAAATCTCCTACTCAATAATATTCACCAAAACAGGTTATGGGCCCAGCTCAGTTTCAAGTGCAAAGTGAATTTCGACAATATTGAGTAGTGAACATTTTTCAACAAAATGTCGGACGAACCAAAGCAAGATGACTTTAGCAGAGTGAACATTCGAAAACTGAAATCAGAAAATCAGTGGGAAACTTGGAAGTGGCAAATTGAATTGTGTCTACACGAGCAGAGTCTATATACAATCGTGGATGGATCCAGAGAATGCCCAGAGGGTCCAACGACAGACAAGCCAACACCTTCTAAAGAGCACAAACAGTGGCATAGTGATAATGCACGCGCGGCACGCATAATAGGCACAGCACTCGAGGAGGATGCGGCCATGTATGTGCGTAAGAAGAGCAATGCAAAAGATATATGGGACACTTTAAAATCTGTATATGAGCAGTCTTCGCTTCAACGTCTGTACACGCTGTTCGATAGCTTCTACGAAATTTCGAAAGATAACGCAACATCGATTAAAAAGCACGCATCTCGCCTATCGAACGTGTACGAGGATATATGCGAAGAGCTGCAGAAGAAAGACTCCAAAGCCACACTTCCAGTCTCGATATTGCATCATAGGATTTTGAAGACTCTCGGGTCAGAATATCAATTCTACCGGTCTACATGGTATAGAATACCCGAAGCAGAACAAACGACGAACCTTTTGGTAGAAAATTTAGTGTCTATTGAGAGCTCATTGTCGACACAAACTCCAACGGTCAGCGCATTTCATGCGAAAAATTCGAACGCGTTCAACGGAAAAGGGAGCAAGTTCACGGCATCGTCGTCGTTGAATTCCGAGAATCGAGAAAAACGCAAATGCCACTACTGCAAGAAACCTGGCCATCTGATGGCAAATTGCAGAAAGAGACAAGCGGCAGAAGATAAAAAGGAGTCAAAAAGTAGCGACAACAACGACTCAAGTTACAAGAACGGAGCAGCTAAAGCTACGTTTCTCGCTACAGGACTAACAGTGAACTCTGCCTCGGTTTCTGCAGACTCATGGATAGCAGATTCAGGCGCAACAAACCACATGACGGCAAACAAGCAACACTTCTCTACATTCAAACATTTTCCAAGTCCAATCAGTGTCGAAGTAGCCAACGGAGACAAGATGCTTGCTTATGGTTGTGGCAGCGCGGATATAGAAATGCGTGTAAAAGACAAAATAATATCTGCGAAGTTATCTGATTTGTGGTATGTGCCAAACCTCGGACATCAATTATTCTCAGTGCCTCAAGCAACAATGCATGGAAACAAAGTAACTTTTGATGCTGACGGAGTTACAGTAAAATACAACGACAAAGTTGTCGCAACTGGTATTCTTATAGGTTCAACGTACATCATGAATATGAACGTGTGTACCTCAAGAAATTCTGTGCAAGCTAACCTATCTAATACTGAGGATGTACTGCAAGGCTGGCATGAACGTCTCGGGCATCAAGATAAACGTCATGTGCGCGATGTGCTCTCCAAACACGGAGTCGCGATGAAATTCGAAGATACCAGATCATTCTGTGATGGATGTGTGATGGGAAAATCACACAGAAAACCTTTTTCGTCTAGGCAAGAACGTGCAAAGAAAGTTGGAGAACTCATTCACTCCGACGTAAACGGGCCGATGTCAGTGAAGTCTATACACGGATTTAAATATTACGTCGTGTTCAAGGATGACTTCTCGCGCTACACCCGCATATTCTTCATGAAAGAAAAGTCAGAGGTCGCAAATCATCTTAATACATTCTTAAACGAATGTCGCACTGCTGGACATAAAGTGAAAAGATTTCGATCTGACGGTGGCGGTGAGTTCGACTGTGCACGTGTGCGTGAAATTTTAAACAATCAAGGCATCGAAATGAACCTAACCTGCCCGTACACACCTGAGCAAAACGGTGTTGCTGAGCAGTCGAATAGACATGTCGTCGAGCTTGCTCGCTCAATGTTGTCAGTCA